CGGTGATGACGGCCAAGCGCGACCGCACGGCTTTGGCCGAAAACATTTTTATGAAGCTGTTTCGTCTCTTACGTACTTTGTGCGGTGGCTGGAGAGTTAAGATTACAGATGGTTTGGTACTGATGGGGAGTTACTAGATAGTAAACAGCTAATGGCCACTAAAAGTGCCTGTGCAGTGGGTTGAGCGGCGCGTTTGAGCGTGCCCGTAACTCCCTGGACACATTTCCGTCAATTTATGTTTTGCCATCTCCTACCCGAGACTGCCGTCGTAAACCACTAACAGGTGAGGCCACAGGGTCTGCTCCCAGAATCAAAAGCCAACAACATCGCTTTACAGTGCACCTTGCCTGAGTGGCAGGAACGCGCTCTGCTCCAGACCGGTGTGTATCGCTGTGCCGTCAGCCGGCGCTCGCGTGACCTGACCCGACCTGACCGGACACCGCTCGCCGGCAGAGGTCAGCCTGGGAGGCGTCTTACTGGCGCTTGGCTACTGCCGACCAGATGTCATTTGACGAACAGAGGTGTCAGCGCTGATGGGGGTTTTTCACATACATTATTTGTATTGAAATTATTCATTACTGAATGCATATTGAGTACTTTTGATAATATAATATGGCAAAGTATATAAATATTGAGTGTTCAATTTGAAATGCCAGTTCTAAATAGGCTATAAGCTGTATAAAATAATAATTACCAACATCTGTATTTATATTACAGATCTTTGAACATGTTGCCACTTCATTTCTATAGTCCATGTTCATCTGCCTAACAAAACGTCTCCACGACAACCCCTGAACGCTACCGCACTTTTCCCAATTCCAGAATGGCCCCACACTGGGGCTGCGGCTGCTGCTGTCTTGCAACTGGTGCGTGTGTGTAGCCGCTGAGCGCGAGCACGAAGGTCTGCGTCTTTAGTTCTCAGACTTAGTTCAGACTTCAGTTCTCTGATGGTGTGAAAGACAACAATCAATATGTCTGACAACGTTCAAGAATGCTTGCCAGATAGCGCGCGCTGGGCCTTTTTTATACTATTTTAATTGCAATTTTAGACTTGACATTTCTGTTGAAACACCTTGTAGTTAGTTGTCTCAATTAAAACGAACTTTCTTCGAAGCGAACCTGCGAGATGGTTGATATCCAGTCGTAAGTTTGATTTCTTTGTGGTTTGTCATAGCGTAAGTAAGTGGCCACGAATGAAAGCGAAATTGACGCCGGCGGCAGTATTTATCTTTCCAATAATGGCCTCGGGGTGTGTATTTGCTGTCGTTGGAGGTCTGTAACCCGACTGCCGCTGTCCCTGCCTCGCCGTTGGTCAGCGATCTTGCCCAATCAGCCCGCTGCCCTTCGTGACCCAGTGTCCATCAGTCATGCCCGGGCACCGGCCCCTGAGACCTGGCACGCTAATGCGACCCTCACACTGGCGTGCCGTGTGGATCATCCCACCTGCTCCCTCATGCGGCACGCTGTCTGACGTTCGGGGAGAATACCTCAGGAGCAGGGGAGGTAAAGCCGCGTTGGTAAACAAAATGTGGCTTACACCATAGGCAAGATTCAATTTGTATCGAGGGGGAGGGGTACTCCTGCCAGCACCTCCAGGCTTCGCCATTATCTGGCCACGTACCTCCCGATCGCCCCAGCTGAATCGCCGGGCCTTCTCTCCACTGTCGGGTTGCTGTCAACTTTCCCTGCACCCGGCTTGTCCCGAAGACCTGACGTCGCCCTCACCCAGCACCCGGTCACTGCCCTGAAGCCTCCCCCTTCCCCTCGCTGCCGTCCCCACCGACACCCCGTACGTGGTGCTCCCGCCGGTGAGCTCGCCTCCTTCCCGCGTCAGCCCCGCTCGCGCTCGGCGGGACCCGCCCGCCGTCCGCCGGCCCGTACCGCGACCGCGTGTGGGCGGGCGCCGCGCTCCGGTACGCCCGGCGCACACCTGTTTACACGCCGCGCCCGTCGTAAGGGCGGTCGTAACGCGCCGGGCAGCGCCGTGTTACGACGCTCGACGCACCCGGGGACCGCGCAGCGGACAAACAGGGACGCCCGCGCGGATAGGGTCGCAGGTCGGGCTCCTGACGTCCTGGTGGTCGGGATTTGTCCGGTTTCGTGCGCGTCGCGTGGTGTTTTTCTGCTTTGGTGCTTCGTTTCGTCAGTTTCGTGCAAGCTGTCGTAAGTACCGCTGTAAAGGTTCACCGCTGTGCATGTTGCAAGAGACAGTGCTGGTGCGCTCCAGCAGTCCTATTCGTGGGCGGGTTTGCCTGTGGGACTACCAGAAATGCCAGGGGAAAATGGCTGGCGAAATGTGATGGCAAAATACACCAAACTTGCCGAAGAATGGGGCGACATGAGCTATATCTAACGTGGCCCTAGTGGTGTACACAGTACACCAAGCTTGCCGAAGAGTGGAGCGACATGAGCAGTATCTGACGTGGCCCTGGTGGCGTACACGCCTGCTTTTTCATTGGATCTCGTGTTTTGGTTTCATGAATATTCTTCAGCGACACGAAAACATCGAACAAGTGAAAAGACCCAACGCTCCTTCCTGTGGCGTCTTTTTTAACGACAAAATGTTTCCAAGCATCATCATAGGATCCGTGTTGAACCTCTCCTCGAAGTGGTTTGGTCATAGCCCATCTGTCTCCCTCTGTTACTAGGCGTGTAGGTTCCTTACATATGTTGGCGCTATATGACCATGCAGTCGAGACACCGAGAAGTACATATGCTGGCTGGGAAATGTGTAAGTTTTCCTTGCGATGAAAGACACTTGACGACAAAAAAGAAAGAACACCAATATGCCTTTGTTGCAGTTAATTCGATGTGCCGTTAACTGACCTCCCGTTGAGTCATCACATGCCTAGGGACAGTCCACACAGTGCAGACGGACGCGCCTACATAGTCCTGAGAGCAACTGATGACGTTACTAAGCGCCCGCTGCGACGGTCTCAGGGCGGACCAGTCTTCAGGCGGCGTGCTGCTCCAATGAGCTTTGGCGTGGAGACGCGGGAACCATCGGCGGACACGCGATCTTGTCGGGAAGTTGGCGCGTCTATCGCGGCCGTCCGAGCGCCGACACGGCCCTTCGCGAGCAGTGATCACTTGCCGATCTAAAGTGGCGACAAGTTCTCGGCTGGCGACGACGCGGCAGCGAAAAGCGGCCGCCGGCAGTGGACGCTCTTGAGCGGCCCCGCTGTGACCGTCAGGCTCTCTCAGGGTCGCTCAGGTCTGAGGCGCACCGGGCGGCGTGGCCTGCGAGACCAAGTGCGCCGCCCACCGCTGAGCGTCGGGAGCGGCGCGGCGCCGCGACCGGTGACGGCGCCCGCTGGTGCTGCAGCGCGGGCCCGGCAACGGCGCCCTTAGCGCCGGCTGATGGCAATGGGCGCCGCATTAGCCTTCGAAGTTGCCGTTAATATATTTATGAGGCGATGTTCGGTGGCGGGGAATTCACCCCGGGATAATGGGGATCGGGTCAATGTTTGCCGGGGCGGCGGGGATCGCGGCCATGCTCTGCCGCCGTCGTGCGTGCTTCCCGGTGGTGCTATCAGATGCCATCGCTCGGTACATACGCACGCGAGAACCTGCGATCCCCGCGGCAATTGTGTTGTGTGTTATATGACGCTTGACGCTGGCCGCCCGGCTCTAATGAAGACACAGCCGTCGGCGCCGGCGTCGGCTACAGCCGTTCTGCCTCCGGCGCGGGATCGCGGAGAGCCGGCGTTGGTCGGCGTCGGGGGGCGGCTGGATCGGCCCGCAGCCGCCGGCCGGTGGACGTTAACTGGCGCGGAGACGGGCCGCGGCAGGGCGGCCTCACGGCCGGAGGGGGAGGGGGGGGGGGGGGAAGGGCGCCGGTCAGGCTCGGCGCGCCGGCGTAGCGGCCTCGTGGGATCGTGAACGTAGGCCTGGTTGGTGCTGGGGTGAGGATGTGACTAGGATGGTGTTGCTGGTAGCTGAATGCAGCTGCGGCTGGTAACTGAATGCCACTGCAGATGTGTTGGGATAATTGGCAAGAAGGTGCGAATTTGTGAGCTGTGTGTCGTTCTCGAAAAACGCCCTGCATTTTGGCGTACTGTTATCACGCAAGTGTTGAGGACAAGATCACGTGTGTTGGAGTGATGCGTCGACAGAATAGTCGTTCTCATTGGGTTCGGAGATTGGCTAACACGCCCGCGCTTGGGTAAAACCAGCGACAACTGCCACCGGTCTATGTCATCCCCGCTGGACTCTCATACCCTGTCGTAGGATGTGCATAGCTGCCTCTGTATGACACTCTCTAGCTGACCAAACCACGGCAGGTATGCCTCTGTTATACTCGGGCGTCATCTCGCCGGCATGCTGCCCCTTGGCTCTGTTATACTCGGGCGTCATCTCGCCGGCGTGCTGCCCCTTGCCTCTGTTATGATCGGGCGTCATCTCGCCGGCGTGCTGCCCCTTGCCTCTGTTATACTCGGGCGTCATCTCGCCGGCGTGCTGCCCCTTGTCTCTGTTATGATCGGGCGTCATCTCGCCGACATGCTGCCCCTTGCTTTTGTTATACTCGGGCGTCATCTCGCCGGCGTGCTGCCACTCGCCTCTGTTATGATCGGGCGTCATCTCGCCGGCATGTTGCCCCTTGCCTCTGTTATACCCGGGCGTCATCTCGCCGGCGTGCTGCCCCTCGCCTCTGTTATACTCGGGCGTCATCCCGCCGGCGTGCCGCCCCTCGCCTCTGTTATACTCGGGCGTCATTCCGCCGGCGTGCTGCCACTCGCCTCTGTTACACTCGGGCGTCATCTCGCCGGCGTGCTGCTCCTTGGCTCTGTTATACTCGGGCGTCGTCCCGCCGGCGTGCTGCCACTCGCCTCCGTTACACTCGGGCGTCATCTCGCCGGCGTGCTGCTCCTCGCCTCTGTTATACTCGGGCGTCATCCCGCCGGTGTGTTGCCCCTCCTGCGCCGTCGTGTCGCACTCCCAGTGCCGCCCGGCCGTGTTTCGCTCCGGCTCTGACCCGTCCTTGTCCCGCGTGTCGACAGGCGGAGGCCGCCAAGACAGTCAAGATGATGGAGCTGTCGCACAGCCTGCTGCTCAACGAGGCGGCGCTGAAACAGATCCCCGAGGGCAAGCGATCCGTGTTCGTGTTCGAATGGCTCCGCTTCCTCGACAAGGTGCTGGTGGCCGCCCAGAAGGTCAGTAGGGTCAGCGGAGCTCCGCGCGGGCGTGCGGCTGCAGCGGGGCGCCGCGGGGCTATTGGCCGGCGGCGGCTCTGGCGGCCGCCTCGAGCTGGCGCTGAGCGACGCCGCCTGTGGGGAGGTGGAATGATATGAATGGAATGAATGATGTGCGTGATGAGTGATATGATATGAATGATAGAGGCACGCCCCGCTTCTTGTCCAGGTAGGTGATATTGGATTGTGTGCAGAGTGCGGAGTATGTCCGGTCGTGGAGCCTGTTGGCTTCGGTTGCATCCGGCTCGGCTGGTCTGGAGGCGTGGTGACTGCGGGTCTCCGCGGAACGGTCTCGGCGGAGCCGTTTGATAAGGCGATTGGACAATGTAATCTCTGTGGAGTTGGTGATGATGAATTTGCTGTGTTCACTCCCATGGCGTTGTGTTCCGCTGATGACAATTACCGGGTCGTGTTGGGAAGTATCTGGTACAACGTTGCGCTGTGGGCCGGGGTGGGCGCGGTTTAACGTGTAATTGTTACGAGCCAGTTCGCAGGCGAGCTTGTCTTGACTTCCACTGACCGGATATCTATTTAGCTTGAACGATCCAACACTGGGCGGTCCGGATGGCCATAGATAATGTATAATAGAATATATTATATAGATAGATAAGAGAAGAGATATAGAGCATACATGCGCACGCGCTCTCGTCTCGAGCTCTACTCTCCTCGCGCGCTCGGTCCGCTCGAGATCTCTACTTCTCTCTCTCTCTTCCTTCTCTCTTCTCGCTCTCTCTCTCTCTCTCCTCTCTCTCTCTCTCTCTCTCTCTCTCTCTCTTCTCTCTCTCTCTATTCTTCTCTCTCTCTCTCTCCTATCTCTCTCATCTTCTCTCTCTCCTCTCTCTCTTCTCTCCTCTTCGCTCTCTCTTCTTCTCTTCTCTCTCTCTCTCTCTCTTCTCTCTCTCTTCTCTCTCTCTTCCTCTCTCCTCTCTTCTCTTCTTCTCTCTCTTCTCTTAGCTATCTCTCCTCCTCTATCTCTCTTATCTATCTCTCCCTCTATCTATCTCATGTCTCTGTATTTATGTCTCTCTCTCTGTTATCTATCTCTGTCTCTCTTCTCTATGTCTCTCTTCTCTCTGTCTCTCTGTATAGCGTCTATTGTCTCTCTGTCTCCTGTCTCTGTCATCTGTATTCTGTCTCTATGTCTCTCGTTCTCGTCTCTCTGTCTCTGTCTCTCTTCTCTGTTCTCTGTCTCTCTGTCTCTCGTCTCTCTCTTCGTTCTCTGTCTCTCTGTCTCTCTCTCTCTGCTCTCTTTCTCTGTCTCTCTGCTCTCTGTCTCTGTTCTTGTCTCTCTGTCTCTTGTCTCTCTGATCTCTGTCTCTCTGTCTCTCTGTCTCTCTGTCTCTCTGTCTCTCTGTCTTCTGTCTCTGTCTCTCGTCTCTCTGTCTCTCTGCCTCTGTTTCTTCTTCTGTCTCTCTGTCCTTCTCTCTGTCTCTCGTCTCCTGCTCTCTGTGTCGTCTTGCGTGCTCTTGTCCTCTGCTCTCTGTCTTCTGTCTCTGTTCTCTGTCTCTCTGCCCGCGCCTCTGTTCTGTCTCTCGCTCTGTCTCCTGTCTCTATGTCTCTTGTCTCTCTGTCTCTCGTCTTCTTGTCTCTCGGTCTTAGTCTCTGTCTCCTTGCTTGTCTCTCTGTTCCTGTCTCCTTCCCCTGTCTTGTCTCCCTGTTCTCTGTATTCGTGTCTATTGCTCTAGTCTCTTGTTCCTGTATCGTGTCGCCGTCTCTCTTCTCTCTGTTTTGTCTCTCTGTCTCTCTGTCTCCTGTCCCGTCTCTCTGTCTTTGTTCTTGTCTCTATGTCTCTCGTCGCGCCTCGTCTAGGTCTTTTCTTTTCGCGGTCTCTCTTGTTCGTCTCTCTGTCTCTCTCTCTCTCCTCTTTCGCTCTTCTCTTCTCTCTCTCTCTCTCTCTATCCTCTTCTCTCCTCTCTCTCCTCTCTCTCTCTCCTCTCCTCTCTCTCTTCTATCTTCTCTCTCAAGCTCCTGGTGACTGTGACCCAGATCACTCTGCTTAGCGCGGACTGGAAGACCCGTGGTCCGGTCCACTTGGATCAATGTGCACCAGGACGCTTGCGCATTTCACAGTATTTGTACCTCAGGTGCCGACAGTCTAACTTGATCCAGTTTAGTCGAGCCGGGTCTGGCCAGTCTCGCGTTCAGACAGTTTCCAATTAATTCCGTTCGTTAATATGCGGGGGAGTACTTCGTCAGTGAACTACTGCCTGCTCGACTCACATGAAACGCCCGCATTTGATTAGATGCATGCTCTTTCGCGGTACCATTGGCTCGGGATTTGATATCGTCTATGGATTTTTTTAATTATTTTCAATTGGCTGCAGGATTTTCGGCGATATGTGCTCCACAGTGGCTTTTAAGTTCGTTATGGGCGCCAAATGAGCTCAGCCGCCGGCACACCCTCAACCTTAAACCATCATCATAACAATCACGCCCGTTACTATCCCGCTCGTTCCATGCCACAGGAGACGTTTTACCAGGCACCAGTCTTGCGCCTGAGCGGGAATGTGCGGTGCGCCCAGTGCCGATCGCGAGCCTCAGCGTTGCGGCAGGCCGAGCCGAGACTTCGGCCTGCTGTGGGCGGTTAACGTCTGCAGTCGGGCGCGCTCGCTAATTGAGCGGCGCGCACGTTCAGAGGCTGGCCGGCACCAACGTGGGCCGGGTGGTTTTCTCACCATCTCATTCATCCACCCGGCTGCACGTGAATGCCGGCGAGGTCGCTCGGGGGGGGGGGGTCCCTTAAACTCTACAGAGACCTGAGAGGACTCCCGTCCAAGCACTGCCTTACCTTGCGAGTGTGACGAACAATGGCGGTGGAACGGAGGTGGGGGGGGGGGGAGGGGGGAGGGCTCCCTCCAACTGACATAACTTGGCGTTTGTCCCTCCGAACCTGTGCGCAAATTTAGCAGTAGTCTCATAGTGGTTGCATGGTAAGCATGGATTAATGCGTGTTTTCTCCGCCATCCACCCCATCCCCTCCGAGCCAGGCCACGCGCGTCTGCTGACGGCCCGGGTAAACTTGGCCGTTGTCTGAAGAGGCGGCCTGCCCCCGCTTCCATGTGTGGTGCAGTTGGTGCCGGCGTCTGTAGTACCTCTAGCTGCGGCAAGCCCCTCTGCAGTGAGTCAGATCCTGGCTGGGGTACCCAGGTCCTGCAGCGTTTCTGCCCGATATCGCCGCCGCGCCGGCCCGGTCCCGCGCTCACCGTCGTGCCTCCAGCGGCCAGCGGCACGTCTCCGGTCACAGCTCCGGTCCTCCCGTGCCCCTGTGGGGAGCTCCGCCGGCCGGGGAACATTGATCGCCACTAGGTGGCGGTCGGGTCGCGGCGGACCCCGCCGCGCCGGGACGGCCGCCGCCGCCGCCGCCCGCTGGCTCGGTTACCGCGACCAAATGGACTCCGCTAGGGCGCCATGAAAATGTCCGCGCCAAGTGGCGCGCCCGCTGAAAGCCATCGGCGGTCCGGAGACGTCCGTTGCCTTGCGATGAAATGCTACGTTACTGTGTTATTTGGTTATGTTTTTTTGAGCCGGTTGTAATTTGACCCTGCATGAAAACTGTGCTCCCGGGCCAACGTGCCGTGCGGAGTGCTTTTAGTTCAAAGATCGTGGAGACGCACGTGCCGGTGCATCATAAGGCCGTGGCGTTTTCCACCTGTGCGTACGTATGCTGTGGCTGATCCGTTACTCATCGCTCTGGCCCATTAACACCTGGAGCGTGTTGCCCCAACTTTTGACTCGTTTACGTTCCACATCCGTACGAAGCCGTGTGATCTTGCTTGTGATCGCCAGCCCCCGGTTGGTCTGCGATCTCCGCGTCTGACCTGTCTCTGGCCCCCGCAGACGGACATCAAAGAGTGCCACAAGAAGCTGGTGGAGCAGCTGACGCAGCAGCTGAGCGAGGCGCCCGGCCCGCCCACGCGCAAACTCCTGGCCCGCTGCCTGGCCACGCTCTTCAGCATCGGCGACACCTTCCTGCTCTTCGACACCGTCAACAAGTGCAACGACATCCTGCGCAACAAGGACGACTCGCCCAGCTACCTGGCGACGAAACTGTGAGCGTGGCCGGCGGCGGTCTCCGGGGACGGCGGCGCCGGCTGCGGGGCTGGCACCCCGACTCCAGCTGTGATAGACCGACGCGGGGATGGGCGGCCTGCCCGGCCCGGCAGCTGTCGCGCTAGTCATGCCCTGATAGGGCGGACGGTTATTTGCGAAGCGGTTATGGATATCGTATCGCCCCGGTCACCGCCTGGCTGCGATGCAGGGCGCTGGAGCTGTTTGCTGCGGGATATATGACGCAATACCCATGAACGCGCGCAGTCTGTTGGGATGACTTTCCCGCTTGCGAACTTGGCTGACGGCGCTCGTAAATGACAAGTTGTCTGCTGACGGCAGCAGTCGGTGATTCGGGCGTGGGCTGAACGACGCACCCTCGTGAGTTTCGTGATTAGTCGCCAATTTAGGGGTTCGTCTGTTCAGATTATTAAAGCTGTACCTGCGCCAGATTGCCGCCGTGTTTTGCTTTTGAATGCTCAGAAAAATCACGCCTGAGGACAAACGCCGCTGATGTTCCGCGGCCGGTGTCGGTTTGTTTGCCGTGTTGCCGGTACGCGTGCCTGTGTTGTAGCTGGCTGTGGTTTCAGCGCTGCGGTGAGCTGCATCGGCGCCATGTACTCCAAACTGGGCCGGATGATGGGACGCTCGTATGAAGAGACGGTGCAGATCCTCACCAAGTCCATGAGGTGAGACCGGCTGGGGCCGGGTCCTGCGGACGAGCTCCCACGAGGTCGGCGGACATCGCTGGTGGCGATGTCGTCATTGGGTGAACGCGAATGCCTTGTTGCTTGCTGTCCACCCTCTTTGGGAATGTGTGGCGCTGGACATCTATTTACACATGATTGGTGCCATTCAGCCGTGAGCTCTTGTTTCCTTTGATTATTTGTTGCATATCATTAGAGAGATGGCGTTAGTTAAATTCTGCCGGTTCTGTGAGCTTCGCGTTCTGACGCAAGGGCTCTGTGGCTCCGGCCATGCATCCAGTCCAGCTGATTTCCCCATCAACATCAGGCTGGTGCTATAGATCGCCTCCAACGTTATGGTGTGGCGGACTCAAATTCAGCTCGGATCCGGGGGCGACGCCTTCCATGCCTACGAAATTCACACACCGTCGGCTCATCCTGACCACGGCCGCGCGGTGACGCGCTCCATGCGGCGGCCACTCCGAGAGCGGCGCGCTGACAGCCGGCGGCGCCCCAATTTTGTGCAGTAGCGAGGTGTCGCCGCAGCGGACAAGCCGGCCAATCGCCTGTCGCGCGGCGGCGGCGAATAAGCCCCTCTGCGGGTCGGGTGTCCGGGGATTTCCGGATTGCAACGTCGTGTCGTCTGGTCCGGGCCGGCGCCGTTGTGCTGCGACAAATGGCGGGGAAGTGTTGCTGGATGATGTTCTCACGTCTGCGCCGTTTCTCATGGGCCGACACGGCGGCTGTGTGTCCCAGCACTGCAGCATGACCCCCTTCCTCACACATGCACATGCACAGGATATCTGTCCCTCAGAGCATGTTCTCCGGACATGCATCAAACCGTGCCGCAGGGCGGTGTGCTTCCGAAATGACGCGCTGCGCTGGTTTGTCGGAAATTTACATTGAATCTGAGGATTGGACGCGAACCTCTCAGTCCAGAGACAGCCGCTTTGACCCCTGCCATCTGGCAGTTGCCCGTCTGCGGCTTCTGCACACCCCAGCGGGCCCTGGCGTGGGCGCCCCTGTGAGGCCTCTCCCCGCACGCCCGTCGGGTTGAGTCGAGTCGAGTCGGGTCGGGTCGGGTCGGGTCGGTCGGGTCGGGTCGGGTCGGGTCGGGTCGGATCGGATCGGATCGGATCGGATCGGATCGGATCGGATCGGGTCGGGTCGGGTCGGGTCGTCTCGGGCCGTTCCGGGCGCGGCTGGAGCAGTCGGTGGTGGGCGAGAGCGGAGCGTCGTCGGGAGACGGCGGCGGGCGCCGCTCGCAGGCCACCTGGACGGCTCCCACCGGCGGCCGTGAGAGGCCGGCCCGCCGCCGAGACGGCCGCCCCTGACGCGCTAATGACCCGGCTCTGTGGCGGCGGCGGCGGCGGCGGCCGACAGCTGCCCGGCTCCCGCCGCCCGCCGAACGGCACTCCGACCGGCGCCGGACAATGGCCACTCCGGGTCGCCGCGGACGCCGAGTGGGAGACGGGCGACGCCCGGCCGGCCGATGACGACGGGCCGGGCGGGTGCTGGCGTCTGCAGTTGCTCTCAGAGGTACACGGGTCGGATGCGTCAACCCGACATGGGTGTCCGGTTTGGGCCAGTCGGCTGCGGGGCAAGGGCATCGTTTAGCCATTCAGACTAGACGGCTCAGTGGTAGTCGGCTTTACTCACCGCCATCCGCGCTCAGTCTAGTGCCGTTGGGACGTTATCATGGCTCGATCTCACCGCGTGGAATCGCAGGTGAGCGTTATGGGAGGCGTCTCAAACCAGCCGGCCGCGTCGCTCTGGCCTGCCGCATTACTGCGTGCCGTCCACTCGTCTTCCACCGTCGTCAGGGCAGCGCCAATTGCATAAGCCTGCCGGCGGGGGCGACCCGACCATTATGAGACGGCCCAGGTTAATGGACGCTGGCGGGGTCCGGGGTGGGGCAGTCGAGAGGGGAGCGGAGAAAAGGTGTCTGAGAACCGAACGGATGCGTGTGCGTGTGAATGTGTGAACGTGTACGTGGACGTGCGCGTGATCTTCGGTGGCGTAGTGGCGATCGAGCTCAGGACTTATTAGTGATCATGACAGGTTTTTCCATGGTGTGATTGTGCTGGAATTGGCTGCGGTTCGCCATCGAACCCAGCCTTCCATTGTAGCCGCGTGGGTGGTAGGGTGTAGCCGCGTTGTGCTATCATGTGGCGTCATGATCATCTATCCATGGGAGCGATCCCCGCATTTGTGCCGGTGAAATATATCGGCCGCCAGGCGTTAGGATGCATCTCCGAGCAGCCCTTGGTAATTATACGCTCCCTGCCCGCAGGAGCTCTTACCAATGTGCTAGCTATCACGGGGCCTTGGAGCAGGGCGGTCGGGTTGCGGTGCATACATCTGCAGTAATTACTGTCACGACGGCACGACCCCACCGGCTGCGCGGCTGGCGGCGGCGCTTACGTAAGCGGCTGTCCTGGGCGCGCGCGCCGCGCCAGCCCCGGCCGCCTCCGCGCGGAGAGCCGACCCGCAGCCCGTTATGAGCCCGATAAGGTCGGTGGAAGTGAGCCATTGTCCGCAGCGGGGTCGGCGTTACGTCTCGAGCAGCCGGCACTCGGGGATCAGGCCGGATGGAGCTGCCGCGGGCGTGGGCCCGGGGCCGGGCGCCGCCTGAGGCTGCAGCAGCCGCCGCGCAGACACCTCCGGCCGCCCTGGGGCCGGCTGGCGGGCTCGTGTTCGGGGCAGGTGTGCGACAGCTTTGCGGCCTGTTTGGAGAAGTTAGTGTGGTTTTCCCGCCTGTGCGGGGATCTCAGCGGTCGTAGCGTCGATGAAGGCTCTGGCGTTTGGAGCCGTATTCGGGCGCGTTTGCTGGACCACTCCCACCATCCGTCGAGATGTAAGGAATAGGCCACTTGAGACTAGCATGGGTATTGACCAAGTCAGCATCCAATGGATTCAAGCAGTGCGTGCTCGAAATGCAAGAAATGCTATTGCCGACGGAGAAACACCAGCCCATAGGAAGAACGTTACTATTTCTCGGGCCGCGCTCCACAAAATTGTTGAGCCCACGTTTTCCAACGCACGCGACGTCGGTGTGGTTTGTTGCGAGAGAGCTGAGTGGATCACTGATCATGATGGATCGGCAGCTAGCAGAGTGCCGCACGCCGGCTGCGCTGATCAGGTCGGCTGCACTGGTCAAGTTGCCTGCGCTGGTCAGGTCCGCTGGTCAGGTCGGCTGCGCTGGTTCAGGTCGCCCACGTTCGCCGCTGGGACCACTCCGTCCCCTATTTCGCCATTCCGTGGACCGGGTCTCGTCTGCCGTCTCATGTGCAGTGTTTCAGTGTCATGGCCTGCGGCCTTGCGGGACTTCCCGGCCTTGTGTTCTGTTGTCTCACGAGGCTGCTCGGGTTCGGCCGTCTGTCATCTCGCGGCTGGTCTGCTGTCCGGTGTCCAGGCCTGCCACCGCACGCGCGGCCGGCCCCGGCTCCGGGTGCTCGGCCGGTCCGCCCGCTCCGGTCCCCCGGCCCGCGCTGCCCGTCCCCGGCACCGCTCCCGCCCGCCGTGGCGCGCGTGGCGAGGTGGCGCGGCTCCTCCAGGTGTCGGGCTGTATCGACCCCGCTCCGTGCCGTGCCCAGGGGGTTTTTACCGTCGTCATCCGTCATGGGTGACGGCCGGCGGCGGCGGAACGGCCGCCCACCGCCATCGGCTCCGTCCCAGCGCCGCTCGGTAGTCCCCGGACTGCTCATACTGGGCTGCCTGGAGCACGGCCTGCCCTCAGCTCGGAGCAAACTGGAGAAATGGCGACGGAAAAGATGTGTCTTTGGTGGCACAGCGTGCGACTGCCGCACTCAGTTTTAGAGAAGTACTTTCCAAGCTGATTGAGAGAAATTATGCACTGTCAGAACCAGATGCTCTCTTTGGTCCGGTGGTAACAGACACAATCAGGGTACACTTCTCCACACAAATAGTCGACACCATGGAAGAATACGTACGCCTGTGCTGTCTGAGGAATGTCTGACGCCCAGTGCCGACCGGCCTCCAGCCCTGCACACCTGGAGCCGCCGGCCCAGGAGAAGTGGACAGCTCCCCGCCAGTGCGGGGGCGGGAGGGAGCGGCCGGCCTCCAGCCCTTCGCACCTGCGGCCGCCGGCCCAGGAGCAGCGGACAGCTGCCCGCCCGTGCGGGGGCGGGAGGGAGCGGCCGGCCTCCTCCACCGGCGGTGCTGGCCGCCGCGCCGTGCGCGGCGCCGCCCGCCCCGGCCCGGACGCGGCGCAATGTGTCAGCGGGACGGGTATCGATGGAACCGGCCGCCGGCGGGAATTGAAGACCAGGGAAAGAGAGAAACGGCGCGGCGGGGAGAGAGAGAGCGGCCGCGGCTTTGTGGAGGATCCGTTCGGCGGGGCCGGGATGGATGCTCTCTGTGCTTGCTTTGTACGTGTCTGCGGTGGGCGATTGTCTGCTACTCCGCGATGGATCTGTGTCGTCAGCAGCGCAACACAAAGGCGCACAAAGCCACAGCGCACAAAGCCTTTGTTGATCTGACCTCTTGTCGTGGTCCAATCAACTAATCAGCGGCGGGAATTTATGGGCGGCTCGAGTCAATTAGTGGCGCATCCGTCTGCTATTGATTGCGATGTGGGAGGTCTTGACGAGCGCTCGGGTTAGTGGCGTTTATAACGAGCTGTTCGCCCCGTCGTCATGGAGCCTGTGGCGCTGTAACATGGCAGACGAGCGGACGTCCATCGAATATTTCGGCTGGGAATGGCAAGCGTTCAGACCCAGTCCATCCGCAACCAGGAAAAGAAGATGTGTCTGGTCTGGACGATAAGGAGGGCAGACTGTGTACTTGCTATGCCAATGGCTGTAGTTTCGTGTCGACGTGTCGAGAAGGTGTTTATTAGCATGCTCATTGCGCATTGCTTTACTTGTGTTTCGTGTGGAACGACAGATGCAGGCTTAATTGCTGGTAGGGTCATTCTCAGCTACCTCCGGATATGCTTCAAGATATGCTCTGCAACCGCCCAATTCATCGCATGATGCTGTAAGAGCCGCAATTCGTCGTCTGGCCGTTACTTACACTGACATGAATGGAGGACCTTGGCTCTCCGGGACACGGTGCGCGGTAATGGCCTGCATAGCGTCATACAAACGACTCCGAGGCACCATTCGTCTAGACGGTGTCCCCATTGAAGCTGCGGCAGCGGGCTGGGGATGCTGGTCCGCGGCGCCGCCCCGACGCTGGCCGGGCGGGGCCAGCCGGTAAGGGATTGGACACGGGCACTGCGGACGGTGGCAGGAGCGTGGCCTGCCAGTGACTGCCTGCCAAAGAGCAGTGGTGGGCCCTGATCCCGAGACAGCGGGCGAGGGGAGGCTAACGGTGTTTTGTATGGGGCTTGGTGAGTGGCGATGCCGAAAATCGAACGAGTTTGTCTTGCCCTGACTCAACTCTGCTCTGGAATGGACGCGACTCCATCATCGTCTCCACTCCACTGGACCCCTCGCAGAAATGACTCGACTGCCGACCTACCACGGATGACCTCTGCTTTTCACTCAATTCAGCTCCACTCCGTCCCGCCTTTCTACTTCGCTGCGGCTCGTCTTACGGCCCATCCCGACCTGACCCGGCAGGCTTTGGCCGCGAACGTAGCTGGACTGGGCCGCAATGAACGGCATACGATGGCAGTAATGCCACGCCGTAGGTTGTTGTATGACATCAACGCGGCACAGCAGCCTACACGTCGATCCCTCCCCCACCCTTCCCCTCCCCTCCCCCTCCCCATCCGCCGTCCGTCGTATCCAGCGCGGTCGTGTCCCGGTGTTGCTCTGACCAACTCCGTCAGCGCTGATCGATTCCTCGAATCCGCCGCGGTCCGCCGGTCGCGTGTCGCGCCCCCTCCGCTCGAAACTGGCCCGCGCCCGGATTACGCGCCGGAGTTGGAGCTCGCGCCGGTTAAGTGGAGGCGGCGTCGGCGCGCGGCGGACGCCGGACGGTCCCGGCGGACTCGTCGTTAGGCTGCGGCCGGCGGTCGGGGACGCGATCGGACGAAGTTTTGTCCGGCTGATTTTGCAGTGTGCGAGGGCTGTCGCCGTCAGGAACCGTCCTGCTTGGGCATGTCGTGTTGGGCGATGTTCGTCATTAAGCGGCAGTACTGGATGAGAACTTACCTGTCAATGACGGTGGCGTGTGTTCCGGGTGCCCCCCGTGCACATGTCTGTCTACCTCCCGTATTACCGCCATCCTAGATCCCTGCTCTCGTGGTCCGCATGAATTCACTCATCACCGTGCGTTATCTGACCACTTTTCTGACGGTTTACGACACCGCTTCCGCGGCCCGTCCCTGGCGGACAGCTGCCCCCTGCCCCCCCCCCCCGCCCCGGCAGCAGCCCCCGTTCACACGTCGCTGTCCAGCCGGCAGGAGCAACCCCTCCCCCCCCCCCCCCCCACCTCCAGTGGCGGACCCCGTTCACTGGCCGGCAGGAGCGCTCCCCAACCCGGCGGCAGCCCCCGCTCACATGTCGCCGTCCGGCCGGCAGGAGCGCCGAGTCGCTGATGCGCTGTGAGGTGATGCGGACGCTGGAGAGGCTGTGCGCCGGCATGGACTCGGCCGCCGCCAGCGTGCACAAGGACATCTACAAGGTGGCGCGCCACTGCATGACCGACCGGGTGATGGCCGTCCGCTGCGCCGCCGCCGCCGTGAGTGGGACGGGACGGGACGGGACGGGACGGGGCCGCCGCCGCCGCCGCCGTGAGTGGGACGGGACGGGACGGGACGGAACGGGACGGGGCCGCCGCCGCCGCCGCCGCCGCGCGAGGACGGCGGGCTGGTGCGCCATGTGATGCTATGACAACGTTTAGAGTGTTTTCGGTCGTATCGCCGCGCGTCAACGGTAGTGTTGTCGCTGTCTTCACACGCGGGCGGAAGCGGGCCGTCACACACCGGCCAGTCACCGGCGGGGAGGAGTCGAGCGGCGGCCTGCCGGACCATGGCTCTCGATCGGAGAGGCCGTGTCGGGGCGTGACACTGTGGTCGGGATAGGGCGGGATCTGTCTCTTGCGCACGGCTACTGAGGAGGCTACACCCCCGCCCCCGCTGTCGGAGTGGTGTTTGTATGCTCGGGGTGTGTGTGTCTGATCTGGCTAGATGTGGACTGGGCTGATCCCGTGCCACCACCGTTGTGTGCGAAAGCAGGTCACCGGAGCTTGATGTTTCGCGTGATGCACTGACGTGCTCAACGCATGTGATCAAGCCTGCGGAAATGAGCTTTAAACGACTTATTTTTTACGTCAATGAAATAAGTAGTTCATTGCGGGGGAATCCGTAAGCTGCTCTGCTAGTCACACTTGGTATATCCACGACCTCGAAATAAGCACTGAGCTCATGCATCATTATGAACGTGACTGGCTGCCGGCTGTTCGCGGCCAAATGTCACGGCCTTGTGGGTATTGGCGCTCACCAGGCCTTTGTGGCTTGACAGCATCTGTGCCATTTGTCACGAGTCCATCTACTTCGTAGTCCCGATGTGAGTGGTAAATTCCGCCGTTTTTCCTTGTATAAGCAGTAGCTTGCTGGTAAACGCGTTGCTGAAGTCGTGGGTGAAGTCATACCTTCGTGTTTACGTATATCATGGAGTTGTGATCAGCGGACGTGCGCATTCAGCCTGATGGTGCCCAAAAATGTCATGCAAACCTTCCGTCAAGCGTGGGCATTGAATGGCGCTCGACAGTAAACGTCCGCGTCTGCGTTGTCTGCGTTGCTTTTCGATCTTGTCCTCATAGCGCCATGATCGGATGCCCATGCTGAGGAGGTGCTGAAGGGTCAATCGCACAGTTGCTGCAGGGCCGGGAGGGGGAGGGGGGGAGGGGGGGAGCCATCCGTCCGGCCGTCGAGTGGTCTGCGCTGGCCTGTGCGCCCGTGTCTGTCCGTCCTTTCGCTGAGGTGTTCCGTTCGTCACGTCGCTAGCATTTCCTTGCCATCCAGCGTCAGTCCGTCCGCCTGGTGCCCTGTGGACGCGATCCGCGCCGTCTGTTCTCGCTTACGGGACGGCGGAGGGACACGCGCTCTCGCGGCGCGTGTCCCTGCGCCGTCTGCCGGGATGTACCCGCCGCGTCTCACGCTCGTCCCTCGCCGCCGCCGCCTCCGCAGTGTCTGCAGGAGATGATCGCGCACGCACCGTTCCTGTACACGGCCGAGCTGGAGAGCGTGGCCACGCTCTGCTTCCGGGCGTTCGACGGCTCCAGCTACGAGGTGCGCTGCGCCGTGGCCCGGCTGCTGGGCACGCTGGTGGCGCAGACGCAGCTGACACCGCCGCCGCCGCACCCCGCCAAGGACGTCAAAGGTACTCGGGCCGGGGACGGGCTGCGTCCTTGCCGTCGTGCCACGCGGAGAGACGTGGTGTCGACGTCCGCGGGCGAAGGCGGAAGCGGTGGTTGCGAAATAGTCAAGTACATGTGCGGGCGGGTGTCATCCCCGCGCCTCGGCGGGCAACGGAACGACAATCGTCAGCGGCGCTCTTATGCTGCGACTTTGGATTAATTGTCTGCAATTCGCGTCATGGCTCATTGGCGGCGACGCAAGCTGTTACACACGGCCTGTTGGGCGCCATCGGGCCGTACCTTCTGTCAGCCGATGGCTGACGACGTGCAGCGAGCAGCGACAAGGCGACAGAACGGACGGGGCGCGGCTCATGGCTCCGCCGTCCGTCGCCGTGCGCCGGCGGGGGAAGCCGTCGATGACGCGATGCGGCCGCCGCCGCGGCCTTTGTGGCAGCGCGCTGGTGCCATCTCCGCCTGCGACGCCCGCTGCCTGTCGGCGGCGCACAAACAGAGCTAGCGGCCGGCTCTTAACCGTCTCTGCTGCGGCCGAAATTGGCGTTCATTTATTAACGCCAGCCGTCTGCCGTGTGGTCGTCAGTGAAAGATGCAGGTGCCGCTGAAAGTTTCAGCCGCGGCTGGGCGAGACGCCGCCGCGCGTCAGGCGTCAGGCGCCAGGCAGAGAGCGACGTCCGGTGATGGCCGGCACTCCGGTTTGTATCGATTGGCTCGGTGCTTCCGCGCGCCCGCGCTCGGTGCGCTAGAAGCGGGCTAGACTTTGGGTGCAGCTGTTCGCATCAGGTCGGGGGCGGGGAGTTCCCGTGATCTGGCCTAGGAATAGGTTGGGACGTTGTCAGTCGTTCATCCTTCCACTGGCATGCCTTGGCCGGTCGGTAGGATGGGCTGAAGACTACCTTTCTCTCGCATCGTATGTGTTCATGTTGCAGCATGCCCACGCCGAAGTGCTTCGACCCTTCAGCTGCTCTCTCTCTCTCTCCAGTTTGTCAGGGTATGGCTCGCTCCCTGATTAGTTTCTGAGCTCTTGATACGGAACTAACGCCAGCTGGGAATACGTCCCGCCCGCTGGCCCGGCCCGGCCCGCCCCGGCCCGCGCCCCGCCCGCGCCCCGCCCGCGCCCCGCCCCCCGCGCCCCGCCCCCCGCCCCCCGCCCCCTGCTCCCCTCGACCTTCCGTTCCGCCGCGACGGGTCCGTGTCGCCGTATCTCTCCTCGAGCGGGGGCCGCTGCGGAGAACCCCGACAGGTTTTCACGGCCGGCTCGTATATACATGCAACATTAGTGTCGGAGCCAGGCGGCGCCGGGCGCGGCGAGAGGTGGCGCAGCTGCCCGGGCCGGCGCCGACGACACGGATGGGGCCGTTGGCCGCCACCAGCCCTCGATGGGCGGTTAGGCCGCGCGCAGGCAGCAGTGTCCCGTCTGATGGGATGCGGCACCGGCGGCGAACTCGGGGTCGTCTCGGCTTCGGTGGCCGTGCTCTGTTCCTGGTGATGGGCGGCGCTTTAAAGCGGCGCTGGTTTTTATCGACCCAGCTTGATATGGTTCGCTCCCTTCTGCTCGCGAGGTTCTGTGACGTAGATGGGTGAGTTGTTTAGAGCGCTTCTCCTGGAATTGAGGGGCATTGAGTTCGATTCCTCCCGCAGACATTTCACTGGCCGTGGTTTCCATAGACAGAGCAACGTCTCGGAAAGCGGGTTTGCCAAAAACAATTTTGCAGTCGATTCTTTCCATGCGTCGCCAATGAGGTAATGTTCAGCATCCTCGGAAAGTGATGGCGCCATGACACCCGCGGACCCGCCGTTCCTACGCTCATGCCGGTTTCCGCCGTCGGCGGCGACGCTGATGACTTCCGGCGTTACCTGCGGCGATAAACGCCTGAACGGCCTCTCTCATAGCAGGCGCCGCGGCTGTCAGCGTGCCTGAAGCCCATCACGCCACTCTGGGCGGCGGGGCGGCGGAGCCGGTGCAGCGCCCGTCCCGCCGCCGCTGGCCGCCCCGCCGCTCGGCGGCCGTCGGCGCTGTGACCCCCGTGACCCGTGCCCGGGCGAGCCGGGCCGCCCGCCGGCCGGACGTCGGCTCCCAGATGGCCGGCCGGCCTCGGCGGCGGCGCTGTTTGAAAATGCGCTCCGGCCCGATGTGTCCATTCGCGGCGATGTGATTGTCGCGGTGAGATGGCTCCCGTCGGGGCCGGCTGGGCGGCGGCGCCGCGGAATGGCGGGACTTGCCTGCTTACTGGGCAGGAGTTCTGCCGCCGGGTGTGGTGCGGCGCCGCTGCGGAGAGGTCGGGGTCGCGCGCGGGTCCGGAAGCGGCTCCGTCTGACGGGGGCGTGACTGGCGTCGGCAGGCGAACGTCCGCGGCCGAGGCTCACTTCGTACCGAGCGCGGTCGTGCGCACGCCACGCGCGTGATTGTTACGCTTATAGGACGATTGGTGCGGTGTTGTTTGGGTATAAGCGGCACGGAGGCTGTGGCGAGACCGATGCTGCTCATCATCGCTGAGTAAGGCCATTCTGCTGGCCAATGCAGTCTTTTGTGACTGGGAACGCTGAGCAGACAGTCGTTACGTCCATGCCGCGCCTTTCAGTGGGTGATCTTCGTAGCTGGTTATGCTGGGCGGGTTATCATCGGCATGCTCGACGCCGGCCCGCATCAACACACGTGGCTTGTTCCAACATATGTCTCTTGCCTGACCCGCGTGCCCGGCCTGACCCACGTGCCTGGCTGGCCCACGTGCTCTGCCTTACCCGCGTGCCCGGCCTGACCCACGCGTGGCCCGCAGGCTCTGGCCGGCCGTCGGCCCGGCTGACCTCGCTGGACGAGGCGCTCGCCATCCTGATGACGGGCTTCCTGCGCGGCGGCAGCGGCTTCCTCAAGGGCACCGGCGACATGATCAAGGGGGCGCCGGCCGTCAGCCGCGAGGTCCGCGTCGGCATCACGCACGTGAGTTAGCGGGGAGGCTCGGGCAGAGGAACACCTGACAGGCGGGAGGGGCCGGGAGGAGGGGACACGCATGGGCGCATCCATGGTGGACCGTGGCGTCGCTGGCAGGAAGGGGACACACGAGTCGTGGTCTCTGGTGGTCTGTGGACTCTGGGGGATGAAAGTAGGCTATGTATGCATTAAACACCTCACGAAGGGCGTCACCAACATGGAGCGAGTTAGGGGCGCTCTTACAAGGAGCGTCACCATTGAGGACTGAGCGGGAGGCCCTGTGACGCCTTTGTAGCAGCCTCATCATACTTGTGCACGACTTATCGGGCGGTTCTTGTTAAGGCGTTCAGTTGTGGTCTGCCCTTGCGCCGTGGCGGTGGAACACGTGATCCGTGTCAGCCGCGCACTACCAATGGATGCGATGCTCGCGCCGCGCCGTTCCGCCCCGTGCGTTGTCTCCGACGCGTACGCCGTGACGGCGCGGTGCCGCCGGTGACCGGCTGGACGCCACGTGACACCGCGACGGCTCGCTCTGCCGCGCAGTCGTACGTGGTGTTCGTGGACACGCTGGGCGGTCTGTGGCTGGAGCGCCACCTGCCGACGCTGATCGGCCACATCCTGGAGCTGGCCGCCAGTCCGCGGGTACGTGACGGGCCGCGGCCGGCGCCGGCGGCGCGGTGTGGCCGCCGCTGAGGTACTGTCGGTGATGCCCGTCTGGACGTGAGCGTTGGAGTCACCTGACTGTGGGGTCCCCCTCCCTCCCTCCCCGGCCTGCGGAGTGCAGCCCTTTGCGGCTGGCTCGTAAACCCGCAACAGGCGGCTTGCGTGCTTCGAACTTGGCAGCCCTGGTCTGGTGTTTCCAACTCAGCGTAATTGAGTGCGTGGTTCCGACCGCCCCCTCTCCAGTCGTGACCGTTGTGTTCGCTGCAGCCTTCCGTGGCGAGTTGGGATGGATTGGGATTTATTTCATCGCCGGTCGCCCATTGCAGCTGCTCCCCGCGCGGCCGAGTTTTATGACCACTCTCTCTGATGGTGACCAGTGTCTGCTCCCAGTCGGCGTGTTCACGTGGCAGCTGATCACACCTGTACGCCGGCGCGACCAGCGGCTGCTCAGCGCGGGGATAAGCCGCCGCTCTGTGCCGCCAGGCGGCGGTGACGCACGTGGACTCGGTGTACGTACGCAAGTGTGTGCTGTACATCCTGCACTCGACGCTGGGCCGCATGCTCGGCGAGAAGACGCAGTTCGCCGCCTGCAAAGAGCTGGTGTCAGTGGTTAACAAGCAGGTCAACATAGGTGAGTCGGCCAGGTGGCACCGGCCTCCGAGCTGCGCCCCTGGCAGGAAGCCGGCGCTGAGAGGTGCCCCGGGTCGTTGAGGCGGCAGGCGGCGGCGCTGAGTCAGGAGGTGGAGTCTGGGGCTGGAGGGCGCAGGTCTGGCTTTGATGTACGTGCTCGTTGTCCAACACGTGACGACGGGTGACGGGATGATGGCTTGCGTGAAATAGCTAGACACAGAATGCGGTGTCGAACGACATTCTTTAGGGTAGAAAATGTGTTCCTCTCTGTTGCGGCCGCGTGTCGATATTGACTCTGCGGTGAGCAGGCCTGAAATGATCCCCGGCGCCCTGACTCGTGACATCGAAGCCACGCGTCTGCACCCTTGTCACGTCCCGCGAGCCGTGTGGGGCCGGTGTGCCGCGCGTCGCTGGCGGCTGACGGACGGCGCCTCCGCCGCAGACGCGACGGCCGAGGCGGCTCGGGAGTCGCCCGAGCACAACAGCCATCAGGCGATCGTGTGCGCGCTGCAGCAGCTGGGCAGCCTGGTGCAGGGACTGGGCACGGCCGCCAGCAACCTCATCAGCGACAACGCCGTCAGTACGTAATACGAGCGGCGGCGGTGACGTCAGTGGGTAACCGGAGCACGGCTGCCGGCTTCGGTGCGTGACGCTCTTGAAATAGATCTGCTCTGTCGCAGTCTTGATATTAGTATGTCGCGCGCGCGGTGGGCAGCGCCACGGTGTCGAACAGAAGCCACGTCAACGTGACCGTGCCGTTAAAGTGGGAGTCGAAACATCGACGCCTGGGTGCATGGCGGAGTGACAGGGCCCGTTCGAGTCAGCGACCTCGACTGAACATTGTGCTGTCGCTGCTTCGCCTGTCTCGCGGCCGAGCCTCAGCGGGCCCGGCCGCCGGTGCTGGCTTGGATCACGTGCGACCTCTGACCGGTGACCTGTGCGGCCGGTGACCGCGGTGCCCTGGCCGCCGGCAGACCTGCTGGACGCCGTGGTCTCGGTGCTGATCCACCCCAGCCAGGCGGCCCGGTTCGCCGCTGCCTGGTGCCTGCGCTGCATCTGCATCGCCGTCCCCTCCCAGCTGACGCCACTCATCGACAGGTCAGTGGCCTCTGTTGAACTCAGGCGGTCGACGGGCCAGCGGCCGTAGCTGACCTCTATTTAACTCAGGCGGTCGACAGGCCAGCGGCCGTAGCTGACCTCTGTTGAACTCAGGCGGTCGACGGGCCAGCGGCCGTAGCTGACCTCTGTTGAACTCAGGCGGTCGACGGGCCAGCGGCCGTAGCTGACCTCTGTTTAACTCAGGCGGTTGACAGGCCAGCGGCCGTAGCTGACCTCTGTTTAACTCAGGCGGTCGACAGGCCAGCGGCCGTAGCTAACCTCTGTTTAACTCAGGCGGTCGACAGGTCAGCGGCCGTAGCTGACCTCTGTTTAACTCAGGCGGTCGACAGGCCAGCGGCCGTAGCTGACCTCTGTTGAACTCAGGCGGTCGACAGGTCAGCGGCCGTAGCTAATCTCTGCTGAGTTTTGTTTTGTTTTGCAGGGATCGTCCAACGGGTATATTTCAATGAATATATACCTTTTCGTTGGCGTTTTCCACAAATTTCAAATATGATAATATTCAACCTTCCGCAGCATGCGATGTGTCAGCTCTGTTTGAAACACAATGTCAGATGTGGTACAAATGGGCACATTTACGTCTTCTCAAGTATCAGGAGCCTGTTGAACCGTTCTAATCTACTTGTCGGTACATTTTTATATCAAAACCAATCGTGCTCCCTGTCGCCTGTGGTTTTGCTGACCCAACCCAGTCCCCGCCCGAATTGACTTTTCAGTCGTGGCTTTATTCCGTCCGGGAAGAGCCGTACTGAGCAGATCAGTGACGCCGGCTGACCTGTTGACCCCGCCCTTCTGCAGGTGCACGGAGCGTCTGGACAGCCTGCGCAACTCGCCGGAGGCCATCTCGGGCTACACGGCGGCGCTGGGGGCGCTCCTGGGTGCCGTCCACCTGTCACCTCTCGGCGTGCCGCACTGCAAGGGCAAGGTAGCCGCCGGCCCCGCGGGCGGCCCCAGCTCGGCTCGGGCGCTGTCGTGTCGACAGACCCCGGTCGGACGCCGTCCGGTCGACAGAGCCCTGGTCGGATGCTGTCCGGTCGACGGAGCCCTGGCTCTGGCTGCCGCCGGGCTCCTGTGATCCCCGTGGAGGGCGTTTGAGCTCCGCCGCGAAAATGGCGTCTGCCAACACGCCCGCCATCTTATTTGGGGAGGCGTCGGTGGCCTGGTCTGTATCTGCGCGTCCAAAGATCTTACGTGATGAGATTTGACTACTTGCCCCCGTTGACCCGTGAGCGGCGCCTGGGCGTTCGTTGCTCGAGCTTCCTGTCGGTCTGCCGTATTGTCTGGCTCCGGCCTATTTCCCGTCAGTGTTATTGCCAGTTCCGCCGATGATGTCGGCCATCCAGCTGACATCATGTGTGAATGACATTGACATCCGCCCTCCGCAGGTCACCATCAGCTGACATTCGATCACCTGCACGTGTCCTTGACCTAGCGTTGTCCGGTCAGGAGGTGGCCGCAATCGACCAGCATCGGTGCGTTGATAACGTGACTGGCGCCGTGCCGTGCAGGTGATCTTCAACGTGGCGGAGGACCTGTTACGGAGCGCCTCGCAGAACTCTCGGCTCTCGCTGCCGCGCACACAGGCCGGCTGGCTGCTGATCGGCGCTGTCAGCACGCTGGGACACCCCGTCGTCCGAGGTCAGTGGCCGGGGGCAGGTCACCGGGGCCAGGTCACCGAGGCAGGTCACCGATGCCAGGCCACCGAGGCCAGGTCACCGAGGCGGGTCATCGAGGCAGGTTAGCGGAGCAGGTCACCGAGGTCAGGTCTTTTTCAGGTCACCTAGATCAAGTCACCTAGGTCAGGTCACCGAGGCCGGGTCACCGGGGAAAGTCACCGGGCGGGCAGCAGGGCGGGTCACCGAAGCAGGTCACCGGGGCAGGTCATCGGGGCAGGTTACTGAGGCCAAGTCACTGTGGCCAGGTCACCAAGGTCAGGTCACCGGGCCAGATCACCGGGGAAGTTCACTAAGTTCAGGTCACCGGGGCAGGCCACTGAGGTCAGGTCACCCGCGCAGGCCACTGAGGTCAGGCCATCAAGGCCGGGTCACCGGGCTAGAAACAGGACCGGCGCCTGACGCTGGGCAGCTCAGCCGGGACCGTGTGATCGTCCGGGCTCGGGCCACCGTGATGGCAGACAGGCAGAGTGCAGAATCGCACGAGATGTACGCCCGGTGCGCGCGGAGCCGCTGCCTGTGCTGTCTGCCGCAGTGCGCGGCCGCCCTGGGTCAGACTGGAGCGGGTCGTCAGGAAGCGACCAGCTCGGAGGGTGTGGTGGTTGCTATCGCTCGGGTCCGCCCGGACATAAGCACGTGTGCGGGGCGGGGTCGCGGCGCCGGCAGCGTGGCGCCTGGCCACGAGGTCGGCGTCGACTCGCGGGATTTCACGCCGGCTGGTTGTGGGCGCCTCCGGCCCACGGCGCGGAAACACTGCGGTGACACGTGCTGGCAGTCGGGGCGTTATTGCCGGCGCTCCACTTAAGACACGTACAGCACAAAAACGCTGGCGCCATCACCGCAGATGTAATCTCCCGCGACAGCGCTAACCGGGCATAAGCTTTCAGCAGCGATACCAACCTCCGGCACTTTTCGGAACAAAAATACCCGCCACAGACCGGCTGCGGCCATTCGGACGCTATCCCATCACACTCAGCCGTCGGCGCTGCTCCGCCGTCCGCCCGGGTACCGACCGTCTATTCCCAGTCGATGGGCCGCCCGGCGGGGCCGGCAGGGCGGCTTGCGGACCGCGCCGTCCCGCTGGGCGGCCGGCGCTCCCAGACAGCTCGCCCGGCCGCCGGCGTCGTTCGGATAGGGGCGTGTTGTGACCGTGTTGTGGGGAGTCTTGCTGTGGCGGTGGCTGTGTTGTGACGGCGTGAGGGCGAGTGCGCTGTGGCGGCGGTAAGGTGAGCTGTATTGTAACGGTGTTGAAGTGGACTGTGTCTGAATAGTGTTAGTCGGGCGGTGCTGCGAACGCGTGCCTTGGGTGTTCTGCTGTCACGACTGTCGTGCGGAGCTGCCGCGGCGTGATGTCACGTCCCAGCTGTGCCGGGCCGAGTGACGGTGACGGTGCCGTCCGTGCTCGCCCCAGGCCTGCTACCCCGGATGCTGCTGCTCTGGAGGAACGCCTTCCCGCGCAGCGCCAAGGAGCTCGACTCAGAGAAGGCGCGCGGCGACGCCTTCACCTGGCAGGTGGGTGCTCACAGCGGGGAGCCGTCGGGGGCGGCACTAGCTGGGTACCGGTAATGATACGCCCGACTCAGCAGGTGTGGTCTCTCTGGACCTTGTTAGGTGACGTGAAGGTCATTTTGTGATGCCACTCGCGCAGCACCGACACCGATGGTGACCCCTGACGATCAGCGGGCAAGGTGGGTGGGCTGTGCTGCCATCTCTGCGCGCCCCCGACACCGATAGTTCCCGTGCCGGCCGACAGGTGACGCTGGAGGGCCGCGCTGGCGCCTTGGCGGCCATGCACAGCTTACTGCAGCACTGTCCGGAGCTGGTGACCGAGGACCAGATCCGTAGGCTGCTGGTGCCGCTGGAGGCGGCCATCACCATGCTCACCAGGTCGGCGGCGGCGGACTTCGAACGGGGCCACTGTGTTCGGTAGATGTGGGACAGACCAGGCAGCAGCATCATTTAACGGGATAGCAATGTTGTCACGCTAAACTAAGCTAAGCTAAGCTAAGCTGCCGTAGTTATCAAGCGGGAGTCAACGTCCCTCAAGCTATTCTGCTCCTCCGCTTTTCTTCCAGACTAGTAGGTTAACTAGTGAAAATCCGGTGTTCACTCGGCCGGGATCGACAGCGGGCACAGTCGGTTCATGCATGCTCTCTCACCCTGGGCAGGCGGCAGCATTCATACCTCCTGATGTCCGCTGACCACCGTTCTCCCTGTTTCAGCCTGTCCACGGTCATCAAGTCGTACGGGCAGCACCTGAAGGCGGCCATGGCCATGGTCCGCCTGCGTCTGTACGAGACGCTCTCGCTGCTGCCGGCCTCCGCTCTCGAGGGTAGGTGGACCTCGGAGAGGAGGGAGAGGAGCTGCGCCGATCGTGCTGCTCAAAGGCACTTCGTTCCACTTAAGCTGGGAATGGGCGTAAATAAGGTAGCTAGCTGACAACTGAAATACTGGTGTCATATCAAGTTTGCCAGCATGCTCGCGTTTTCTTTCGCTCCCCCATTACCTGGCGGTGCTTCCAGGATAGCTTGTCTGCGTTTAGAACCCGTGATTCATGAATTGTTTGAGATAACAGGCTTGATGTGATGAACCTCGATGCCTACGTGACATTGTCTGTGTCCGAGATGTGGGTGTTTTTCTGCCGGAGCCCAGACTCTGACCCGACCATACCATGCCAGACCAGACCAGACCAGACCAGACCAGACCAGACCAGACCAGACCAGACCAGACCCGGTCCAGACCAGACCGAGCGTGCTCGCTGTCCCCAGGAACGCACACGCAGCTGCTGCGCCTGCTGGTGAGCGAGTTCACGCTCACCGACAACCCGGCCAACACGACCACCTCGCTGCTGCGCCTGTTGTGCCACGCCGACGAGTCGGTCATTCTCGGCTCGTGGCTGGAGGACACCGACCAGAGGAGCGTCGAGGACCAGGTCAGTTCGGCTTGGCGTAGGATGGAACCTGTGTGGGGTTACCGCGTTTGCCGACGCGCTCGCGTCTCACGCTGCCGACAGAAAGCCCTCGTAGCGCGGGATGTAATATCAGCATTGGTTTCTTATGTCTGCATTATTTTTTCAAATGCAGAACGCCTGTCCCACGCGGCCGCCCTGATCAGCTCATTTGCCGCGGTTGAGCGCCTGTGCCGCTGAGCATGACGCCACGTCCGGCCGGTCTGACCTGCTGGTGACGCCCCCGCTGACGCCCGTCACCGCCGTCCCCAGCTGCAGACGAACAGCGCGTCCGGCTCGGGGGCGCTGGAGCACGACCCCACCTGTCTGTACCGGGCCCGCGACCAGGTGAGGCCGACGCCGCGGCGCCGCCGGCCGGCCGCACAGCCTCGGCGGCCTCGGTCACGACGCCTCCTGACGTTTGGACCTTTGGGTTTGGGGGTTAGAGTGCGGAGCCCTGCGTGTCGCTGCGCTGGAAGTCGATGCCCGCTTTAAATCAGATACAAAGTGATAATGAGTGTAGTTGGGCGGATTTGAATTAACGTAGTTGGGCTGATTTGGAGTGCATGGAGACATTTTGAGACCGTTCATGCTACACATACGTACCTATGTTGGCTGTTTTAGCCCTGGGTCACATCGATCAGATTCCTATGCATGCATTTGCTTTCTTCAGAGCATTCCTCGACCGGCAGTTTTGGGAGCTACTACATTAGTTTGGAGGCTGAACTGGGACCAACGCAATATGCTTTCGATCATGTTCCGTTCATGTCAGCTTGGTCTGTAGCTAACCCTCCGCCACCGGTGACATCTGCCGGTCGTGTTTGGCAGTCGCGCTCTGTGCCGGGCCCGCTGCCGCTTGGCGTCGCTGTGATCGACCAGTCGGTGATCCTTTTCGGCCTGGTGTTCCCACGAGTGGCCAACAAGCACCGGCTGCAGATGCTGGATCACTTCGCTGAGTGCATCAAACAGGTGAGAGCGTGTTAGAGGCGTCCGGCGCCATCTGCCCACCGTGTTACCGGCAGTCAGACGCGGTGTCGCGCTGCTCATGAGGGGGCTTGGCGTGCCGAGCTCGATTGGGACGGCACTCACTTGGCGTGCGACGTGCGACGTGCGACACTTGACGTGGGACGTCGCGCGATGTAGCCGTTTTGCGTCGGAGCTGTGTCCTGCGGTGTTGTGTGTGACAGTTTCGTGTGTTGGCTCGGAGGGTTTCGCGGTCGGTTAGCGCTCGCCGCGGTCGGCTCTTCCGGGTGCTCACTCGGATGGGTTCTGCCCTTAGGCCAAGGGGATCCGGCAGGAGGCGATCCAGACCAACATCTTCTCGGCGGTGCTGAGCGGCCTGCGCGGCCTGGCCGAGGCCAAGGCCACCTTCGGAGACGACAACGTCAAGAACTCGGCCACCAACCTCATCCTGGTACTGGAGGACGGGCCAGCGCTTGGGAGGGACGCCGTAGACCGGCTAGCTCGGCACGTGGGATGTCGTGGGTGTATGTCAGGCTTGATCTGGTTGTGTTCTGTGTGCGCCGTTTGTCTGGAAATTCGTGCAAAACGGTGTGCATTCATGATTCACTTTGACGATTTACAAACGTCTATTTCCTTACCGCGTTTTTTACATCGTGAGAATCAAAAGCGCCAGCGCATCTGGACAGTGGCCACGACGTGCCCAGGCGCTGGCGTCCGCGGCCGTCACCGCCAGCCGCGCGCAGGCCTGCCGTCGTCAGTTCGCCTCTCTGCCGACAGAGCGCGCTGACCAACTCGAACCCGACGCTTCGGTGCGCGGCCGGCGAGGCGCTGGGCCGGATGGCGCAGGTGGTCGGCGACCCGCGCTATATCGCCGAGATGGCGCAGAAGAGCTTCGACCGGCTCAAGTCGGCCCGTGACGTCATCAGCCGCACAGGTGAGCGGGTGACGTCATGGGCCGGGGTCGGGCCGGCTGGTGGAAGACGGCCGTGCTGGTAAAAGCCAGCATTTTGACTCGTGAAGGCTGTAACAGGCCGGGCCGAGAAGGGAAACGTTTGACTGGCGCTTCGTGCCGCGACATGTGATCCGCATACGCCCGTGATTGATGAATGTAAACTCGTGGGACGGCTGATGGGCTCAGCGAGAGCTGAGATGAGGCGGCCGCGTGGCTTGGGTCGACCCCCATCACCCGGCCGTGTATGACTACGGACGTCGAGAGCTTGGCACTAATGACGTTGACGTGCTATTCGGATGTACTCTACGATGTCGGTGACCGGTGAACCAGAAGCATGCTGAAATGGACCACGGTGCCAGTTCGGCGTTTGCAACACGCTGCCACATCGCTCTTGCAACGGCAACATGCCCCCTTCACACCCGTCCTGGGTGTGGCGCAGGTCACTCGCTGGCGCTGGGCTGTCTGCATCGGTATGTGGGCAGCATGGGCAGCAGCCAGCACCTCAACACCAGCGTCAGCATCCTGCTGGCGCTGGGGCAGGACATGGCCTCGCCGGTGGTCCAGGTCAGTTGTCAGACGACGCGCATCATGCACTATAATGCAAGGTTGCTTGAATCATCGCCGGTTGCCCTGTGGTGGCCGCTCAAAGTTGGTCACCAATTTGGCTCGTTCTTGCCATAAAATTAACTTCCGTGTGAAGATGCATCCTTTCGTCGAACGTTCGGCATGTATCCGAGTGGTGTTTTTAGTATAAAGTGTGCATTTTACACCCCAAAGCTGCTGCTTTGGCGCTGTGTCCAGCGCACTTGCGACTTGGTATCTGTGCGTGCGAGGTGCAGTCGTTGACACCGTCTGCCTGTTGCCTGATGTCTCAATCCTGCCCCGGTGGTCGTGGGGAAGGGTGTGGCCAGCTCGGCCGCTGTGTCGCTGGCCCATGCCATGTCACGGGACATGTCAGCCGACCTCAGTCCTGACCTGACCTGACCTTCACCTGACCTCAGTCGGCGTCACCGGGGCGTGGCGTCCGTCGGCAGCCGCCAGTCTGACGGCCGCCTGCGTCGGCAGGTGTGGGCGCTGCACGCGCTGGCGCTGATCGCCGAGTCGGGCGGGCCCATGTTCCGCGCGTACGTGGAGCCGACGCTGGCGCTGGCGCTGCGCCTGCTGTTGGAGGTGCCGGCCGCGCACGCCGACGTGCACCAATGCGTCGGCATGTGTCTGTCGGCGCTCATCACCACCGTCGGCCCCGAGCTGCAGGGTCAGTACTCGGCCGGGAGCGGGGGGAGGGGGGAAGGGGGAGGGACAGGGACAGTATTGAGAGGAAGGTCTCATGGGGAGAGGTTGGGAAAGGTGGTCATGAGGGAGTTATTGGTTCCAAGGGGTGACGAATGGACTGAGATCGGCTCTGAGTGTGAGCGACGATAGTAAGGCGTTGGCCAGAGAGGTAAGAGCAGGTCATAATGTAAATGATTGACAACGGGTGTCAGCGGGTGGCTATTGGGCACAGATGATTGGGTGGTGATGACGGCGGGAAGGAGGGAGGGTCGGGCTGGCTAGCTTAGACAAGGGAGTGTCGGTGACCCTAGCCGAGACAACACCCGGGCATCGCACCTATGGTGGACGTACTCACAGCTCCTGCCGTGTACGATTTGTTCGTGCTGTATATCGCTCCACGCTGTGGCACCAAAAGCCGTCCATCGCCACGCTTCCGCCGAGGACGCCACGCGCCCTGAGACCCAAATCATCACCAGCATTTCGCATCTCAGCCGGTGCTGGACGTCTGTAGAGCAGCCGCGTGACGCCAGCGCGCCCGCCCGCAGGCAACAGCAACTCGATCATCGCGGCGCGCTCATCGCTGCTGTGCGCCTCGGCCGTGATGCTGGACCACAGCGACGCCATGGTGCGGGCCGAGGCCATGGCCTGCCTGCAGCAGCTGCACATGTTCGCGCCGCGGCACGTCAACCTCTCCACGCTGGTGCCCACGCTCTGCGTGAGTAGGACGGCGGCGGCGGTGACGCCTCAGGCGCAGCGCTCGCTCTTGTCGCGGGCGCTTGGCGACGCGGATGTTACCATTGGGGGCAGCTGTCGTGGGATGAATCACGGGGCGTTGTTGCATCATGGCACGTAATGTCTCTATGTTAGTGGGATCAAAGTTGTTTGTTATGATCCGGCACTGCACACATGGGTGACAAGCATAATCGCGTTCATTCTCCATGCCATACATGGTTCACCTTGATTAATGGTTTTAGAAGAAAGAAATATCAGCAGTCAACAGCTACAGCTCTTGCCTGACCGCGTGTGGCCGCCGCCAGATGTCGCTGTGCGGCGGTCAGCTGAGCCTGCGCCGGGCGGCCGTCAGCTGTCTGCGTCAGCTGGCGCAGCGCGAGGCGCACCAGGTGTGCCAGCACGCGGCCTCGCTGGCGGCCGGCGCGGCCGCCGGCGCACTACAGGAGACGCCAGGTGGGGCTCTGCTGGCGGCCGAGGCTGCCGGCGCCCCGTGGCGGCGTGCGCCCGCTGTCACGGAGAGAGAAGGCCACCCGGTGGCATCCACGAGTGTAGGGGGTAGCGATGGACATTAGGGGTCATGTTCGCGCCGCCAACTTTTGTTCTGTCTTTTCTTGTCACTAGCGTTCGCATGGTTTGTAGTTTTTATTGGTGATTCATTGGGCGAGCGTGCGGGGGATTTTTCAGTGACGCACCGCTGGCCAGACCGTTGGCCTCTGACCTGTGCACTGATGACCCGTCCGCCAGTGTCTCTGGACCGTGCCACCGAGTACGGAGTTCTGTGCCGTCCCCTGACACCCCCTCCCCGCCCGCCAGTGTCGCTGGACCGTGCCACCGCGTACGGAGTTCTGTGCCGCCCCCTGACGCCCCCTCCCCGCCCGCCAGCGGTGCCGATGACAGACACGGGCCTGCCGGGCGTGCTGTTCAGCCTGCTGGACACGGAGACGGACGAGCGGCTCATCAGCGACATCCACGACACGCTCAACTCGATGATGCTGGCGCTGGTCGACGACAACCTGGCGCTCTGGCTGCGGCTCTGCAAGGACGTCCTCACCACGTCTGTCGGTCAGTGGTGGTCGGTGGCGGGCTGAGCACCGACCGGTGTACCGGGACCAGTGTGGCTAGGCTGCAGGGGGATCTGCTGGTGGCCAGTCCTCGGGTGTGGGGTGGTGTGCGGAACGGAACGGGGCCGGTCTGTGCACGCTGTCAGCGGGGGGAGGTCGCGTGAAGGCGGGACTGGCCCAGATTGTGAGACACGGGCGACTCTCAGCGGCTGGGCCGGCGTGGAGAGGATGGCGGATGGAGGTGTGGGATGCCCCCGAAGTCGAAGCTGATCAGCCGGCGTTCACGCAGTTGTGACCAGAGGAAATGTGCGGTGTTTTCTACGCGGGGAAATGGGGGAAAATGGATATGAACGGACGAGACTGGGTGCGGTGGTCCGCTTCACTGTAGTCTGCCGGCGTTCCTTCGTGCTCGTGCGCGCCGGTAACGCCGGCCCACGTGTGCGGCCGACAGACACGTCAACGGACAGCGACGTGGCGGCCGGCGAGGAGGAGGGCGACGACGACATGGAGCAGTTCCGGACGGGCGAGGAGCCCGACTCGCACCCGGCCATCCCGCCCCGCTGGCCCACACGGTACGACGTTCGGCACGGCGGCCCGCTGCAGCGCCGGTGGCTGTCAGACAGGCGCCCAGACTCGGGGAGAGAGAACGGCGGACGTCAGCCGGGTGGTTTTGGAGATGGGTGTGTCTCGTGTAGTTTGGCTGTCATGTCCGAGGATCTTTACAGTGAGGGGAAAACATAAAAATCACAGCAAAGCGGCCTCGGCGTGCATTGGCTTTGTTTTTGTCACTACCTTTCACCGATCCTCTTGGTTATAACATTTAAGTTTGTATGCACTGGCTGCTGCTGAGTTCTGTATTGACTGACTTGTCCATTGCGTTGGGCCGTGGCGAACTGCGCGTGCCGCAGCGTCTGACGTGGCCCCCGGTCGTCGGCAGGGTGTTCGCGGCCGAGATGGTGCGCAAGATGCTGCTTACCTGCGAGGGGAACCGCACCCACTTTGATCTGGCCCTGGCCAAAGAAGCGCGCGCCGCCAATCCTCAGAGTGAGTCGGCGGCTGCTGATCGGTCTTAAGAACACGCGATACTATGTGCATGTGGGAGAATACTGCTACACTTAAGTCCGTATCTAAACTCAGAATGTTGTTTATAGTCCCTAGCATTTCTAGGGAAATGACGTAGCCGCCTCGGTCGGCCAATCATCCGCTTGGATTAAGTTAAGCCTCCCTGTTCGATGCGTCTGTAGAAGTCCCGCCAAAAATCGCGTCGTATTCTCCCCCGATCACTTTTCCTTTTCTTTTTCCTTCCCCAGAATCAGCTGCACCGACCTGGTAACCTTGTTGCATCCAGTTTTTGACATTCCGCGCGTAGTAAATTAATCCAGCAAGGTCGGGTGAGAATACCTGTTGTGACCAGAGCGCGACTCGTCTGACCTCTCTCCCCTACCCCGCCGGGCAGGCGACTGGTTCATCCTGCACCTGTCCGACCTGGTGCGCGTGGCGTTCATGGCGGCCACGAGCGACTCTGACCCGCTGCGACTGGCCGGGCTGGACACCCTGCACCAGCTGATCGACCTGTTCTCGGCCGCGCCCGACCCGGAATTCCCCGGACATCTGCTGCTCGAGATGGTGAGTCAGACCCCCCGCCGAGCGGCCGCCCGCTGAAAACAGGACGGGAGTGCCGGTCTTGTTTTTGTTCCCCACGTGTTTAAGCTTTTATGTATAGTGTTTCTTATGTGCCCAGTGTGCCATGCGGTTTTATTTTTACCGGACTTCGGAACGGCTGTCGCGTCTGGGAAACCATACCCTATCATTTCGGCATTGACATTAGTATTTATTAGGTACGGTGTTCGATTCCCCGCGGTGCCCGCCCTCCCTGCCAGGGCGAGAGGCAGGCGACGCCATACAGCCTCAGCAGCTGGGCGCATCGCAAAGTTACAATGATGACGATGAGGACAGCTGTCGCCCTGCCCTTGCTGTGCCGCCTGTGTCGCCGACACTGCGGAGTGGTGGATCGTTCGTTTAGCAGCGCCACGTGGCCCTGCCTGTGTTGTGTTCGGAATATGTGATGAGGCTCCACTGACTGGCGCTGTGAGAGCGGTGTCTGGGTCACGCGAGTAATGTGACGGGGCAGCGGGTTGGTTGGAACTTGTTCGACACCCGTGCCTGAACTGAGCGGAGCTACTGCTTTGGTCTGGTGGTTGCCCCGCCCACCCGCCCTGTTGCGCTCGGACACGGACAGGAGTGGTGTCTGAGTGGGAGCGCTCCGTTCGCCGTCAGCTTCACAGCTGCGCTCTGCCAGCTGGACCCCGGCGTGCTGACCTGACCTGAGCTGACCTCTGCGTCCGCGTGTGCCGCAGTACCAGGCGCAGGTGTCGGCGGCGCTGCGGCCCGCCTTCGCCGCCGACACGCCCTGTCACGTGACCGCCCGGGCCTGTCACGTGTGCTCCGCCTGGATCGGCTCAGGTGCGTGGTGGGGGGTCACGTGTCGGCCTGTGTTGTCACGTGTGCTCGGTGCGGATCGGTCCAGGTGGAGGTAGATGTCGCGTGAGTGCCTGCACGCACCACTTGTTGTGCACATTTGTTTGCTTACATCACCCTCTTTTAAGCCCACCTCGTACGCAGCATTCATCCCGATTTGAACGACTGAGGGCCGTAAGCCGAAACCCTGAAATCAGCAGCGGGGATGTTTGTAAAATCCACGTAACTGCGGTATTTTCTGTCCGCATATTGCCGAGCTAAGTTCCATGGGTGATGTGTAAAGCGTACCTTGTGTATATGGCTGCGTGCTGGAGCCCTGGGTGTGCCCGTGAACGTCTGTCGTCTTCGCTGACCCCGACCCCCGTCTCTCAGGGGTGGCCCGTGACCTGGCCGACCTGCGGCGCGTGCACCAGCTGCTCGTCTCCTCGCTGGCCAAGCTCAAGTGGCGCGGCACGCACGTCTACAACGAGAGCGCCATGACGCTCGAGAAGCTGGCCATCTTGAAGGCCTGGGCGGAGGTGAGGCGGCCGCTGTAGGCGGGCGCGCTGATGTCAGGGGAGAGAGTGCAGGTAGAATGTGTGGCTGGTGTTGATGGGACTCGATCTGTTAGTGTCCCCGGGCGGAGGCAGGGGGTGGCGGGGCGTGTCTCGGTCCGCTGTGGTGTCGAGAGTGTCAAACCATCTGGCGGTAAAGTCGCCGACTGGGATATCGGCTGTTCTTTTCTCCGGCTAGTTCGCCAAGTACTCAGATTTGGGTGGAGCACGCGAGGTTTCGACCTCCAACTCGCACACAAAGCAACACTTCCTCATCGACAGCCATTGCAATTCGTGAATGCGACTGCTCTCTGGCTCTCGGCTGCTAGTTGTCTGTGGCGTCCGGTCGGCGCGTACAGCTGTCGCTGCCAGGGTATCGCCGCCGACCGCTCCCTCAGCTGACCTCGCCCCGCGACAGGTGTACATCGTGGCGATGAGCGAGAGCGGCTCACGGCCGCCGAGCCCGGCGCCCGACGACGAGCCGTCCGAGCCTGCCGACGGCTGCTCCGAGCACCTGCTCACGCTGGTGCAGCCCGAGCTGGCCAACCTGGCCAAACACTGGCTGGCGGCGCTCAAGGACCAGGCGCTGCTGTCGCTGCCGCCCGGTGAGTGCTCCGCCGGCAGAGCAGACGTACCAGCCGGCTTTGTGGTACTTGATTCAAAGTGTGACGGCCCATAACGTCCGGTCCAGCGGTCGGTGCAAGCTCCAAACTCAGCTGCCCGCATGTCGCGTATGTCGGGAGCATCGCCCGTCTAGTCGGTATTCAGTGGGCCCTGTGTCGACCTGGTGCGTCGCGTGCTCCGGCGCTGCCCGTCGCTTCGCTGGTGGCCCACGCCCGTCTCGCGCGTCTCACCTGCGCCTATCCCGTGTGTCGCAGAGTTCGGCTCTCAGCTGCCTCACGACGGCGGCGCGTTCTACACCAACGACACGGTGGAGGCGGCGCGGCCCTACTACCGCACCTCGTGGCCGGCCGTGCTGCACGCCGCCGCCATCTGGCTGCATGCCGGTGGCTTCGAGAACGTCCACACAGAGAAGGTGCGGCCAGCGGCGGCGGCCGCGGTCCAGTTGCGTGTCTCGCGCAGGCGCTAGGCTCTGTCATTGGAGGCGGTGGTAGTGGCAGCAGCACGCACAGGCTTCGATTAGTAATTTCAGTTCCGCGGCGTGGTTTGACATTGTCCTAGAAATGCTTTGTCGCGGGCGGTAGCGCTACTTCATCGCGCATTTATTAGGTCATATGTGAACATTGGACACTGTTCAGGGCTTTTAATACCAGCTGGGTGCAGTGCTCCGAGCTTCAGTCACTACCTTCATCATCACTGTACGAGCGTCGCCTGGCACGGTCACTTCCTGCCCACCTGGTATATACCCAGGGCCCCAATCCATGCCGCACCTGTTGGCGGCTGCGTGCGGCGTGCGGCTGCCATCTGGTGGCAGGTTTGTACAATATAAGTGTGTTTACCTGCCGCCAGGTGGGCATCGACGTGCAGGGCAGCACCAACCTGGGCATCGGGCCGACCAACGCCGCCTCGGGCCGAAGCCCGGACGACATCAACACCGACCGGTTCCACCTGCTGTTCGGTGCGTGCGCGGTGGTCGGCTCGGGAGCGGTCGCTCTCGCGTGACTTGGGCACACGGCTGTGTGGTGTGCTGCCTGTGTCGACGCCTCTTTAACGCCGGGGCCACGGCTGCTCGGACCGTCTCTCGGGTTTGAGTGTTTTGCGTCGTCTGCCGCCAAGGCCAGGTGCATGGCGCTGGGCGAGCAGCCTCATAGTCAGCAGTATGGGATTATCTTGGCGGGGCGAACTGATGGCTTGACCTGACCTGGCCTGACCTGATCCGACCTGATCGGGCCTCAGTTGACCTGGCCGGCGCCCGCAGGCATCTGCATGGAGGCGCTGTGTAACCCGCGCAGCTCGGAGCCCGTGCCGGTGGTGGTGACCTGCCTGCGCGCCCTCTGCCGCCTGGTCAGCTCGCCCTGGCCGCGCCGGCTGCTCAGCGCCAGCCCGGCGCTGACCGTCGAGCTGCTGAACGTGCAGCACCGGCTGCTGCTGACCCGCGAGAGCGCGCTCGTCCACCTGCTGGTGATGCGGGTGGTGCGGCGCGTGGTCACCGCCGCCCAGGAGAGCCTGGACGCCGCCAAGCGACGCCGCCTCAAGGGTGAGGGTGAGGCCTGGGACGTGGGAGACTCTCGGCGTAGGGTGACGGCTGCGGTTTGAGATATGATGACGATGGCGTTTGTCGAGATCGCTCATGGGCGTGTTTCCCGTCGTTAAGTGTAATGTGTTTGCCTTGGTCACACTTCTTGACCAGGGCTTGCATCCAGTCCCGTCCGCCGACGGTGCTTTCTACTTGCTTTCTTCCTTGCCGATCGTCATCTAGTGCCTCTTCAGCCCTGGCGTGCAGCGGCTGCAGCGACCCCTCCCCCGACATGATCTTGGCCAATCAGAGCCGTGATCCCGCCCCCAAACCTGAAGTCGGCCAATCAGAGCTGTGACCCCGTCCCGCAGATCTGATGCCGGCCAATCAGGAGCCGCAGGAGCACAAGGAGCTGGATTTGCTGGGCGAGGGCGGCGCGGCCGGCGACATCGTGGCCGGCCACTCAGTGGTGTTCGCCCTGCTGGAGGTCTGCCTCTGCCTGCTCACCAAGCTGGTGCCCTCGCTGAACCCAGCCACTCAGGCCAGGTGAGACCGCGGCAACGAGGTGAGCACGGATATTTGTGCTGTTTTGGGTTCTCATATGTCAGGATTCAACACCGGTCGTTCGACATTAATTTGTGGGGTAGCAAACTGTCGTTGAATTTTAATATACTTGTAAAGTTAATTCTACTACTTTTGAGACATATTTCTGCTCACATTCCAAGTTTTCTGCGATGTGAAACAGAGGTGGCAGTGGACCATGTGTCAATGGAATCCAGCTCTCTCTACGGCCGAGCGAGCCGCTGATCGCTGCTGACCGTCGCTGATCGCTGCTGATCGCCGCTGACCATCCCCGCCCGCCGTGCCTGCCAGCTCGTCGTCGCGCGCCGGCCGTGCGCCGGTGGCCGGCCTGCCGGAGGAGTCTCACCGGCTGCTCTCCGAGTGTCTGGCCGTGCTGGAGGCGGCGCCGGCGCTGTGCTCGCCGCGCGGCGCGCTGGCCGTGCTGCCCACCGTGCTGCTGCTCACCACCAGCGTGCTGCGCCAGCTGGCCACCAAGCCGGTCAGCGACGCCACCGTGCTGGCTGGTCGGCCGGCCGTGGCCGCCGCGCTGCACGCGCTCCGTCTGCTCGTGTCGGATAGGTGAGGATAATGGGAGGAGGACGGGAAGGGGGAGGCTGTGAAGGGGAGTGTTGGTACGGGCAGGGGTGGCTGGGTGATGACTGAGCGCCGTTAGCCGAAATCGGTCCACGCCGTTCAACGGCTGGGGTGCGGCTCAGCCAGCTGCGGGGGTCGTGTGTTGACGGAGCTGGGAGGTAGACGGGCACGCATCGGCCGAGAGGTCGCTGATTGCCGCGAGACCCGCCTCCCCTGTGTAGCGCTCCTTGTCGGCCGCTGCTGCCCGCAGCTCCGGCCCTGCGCTGTATGGACGGCGACTGTTCTGTCTGTGATGTGTGCGTGCGCGGGCCGGGCGGCGGAACGTCGCCTGCGAACGGCTGGTGACCGGCGCGTGCACCTCTGACGCACGGCAGGTACGGCCGGGACGAGCGGGTGGCCAAGGAGTGGTGCCAGCTGCTGGAGAGCGCCCTGGCCAAGGTCATCGACATGACGCGCACCTGTGAGTTGGCGCCCGGCCCGTCGGGTCTGGAGTGGGGGGCTGTCTATTCTGCGTGCACACGATGTTGATTGGTGCGTGGTTCACGATGGCGATGTTAAGGGAAGAAAGACCAGAGAGGCTGCTCAAACAAGGACAACCAATTAGTGACGCACAGTGCTGCGCATGGGTGCGACTTTTGTTCTGTGTTTCAAACCTCAGCCATCACGAGCGTAGCATTCTTCCCTGCGTACAGCGTATTTTTTTATGTGCATTGTGTCGCAACGTCACGTGGTTTGCTATGCGGTTGTAATGGCCATCAGACATTAGATACCACAGTTCTGGATGTGCGCTTCTGGCCTCTCAACAGTGGGGTACTCTGCGTCGAAGTGCACCAAGTCCTTTGTTGAAGCATACGTTGTCGTTGATGCCAGCCATGGTGGTGCGCTTGGCGCGGGTGGTGGGGCCTCGCCAGCGGTGTGAGGAGGTGGCGCTGACCCCGCTGCCGTCTCTCCCTCCCGGGTGGCGGCGCGGGTGGCGGGGCCTCGCCAGCGGTGTGAGGAGGTGGCACTGACCCCGCTGCCGTCTCTCCCTCCCGGGTGGTGGGGCCTTGCCAGCGGTGTGAGGAGGTGGCACTGACCCCGCTGCCGTCTCTCCCTCCCGGGTGGCGGCGCGGGTGGTGGGGCCTTGCCAGCGGTGTGAGGAGGCGGCACTGACCCCGCTGCCGTCTCTCCCTCCCGGGTGGCGGCGCGGGTGGTGGGGCCTTGCCAGCGGTGTGAGGAGTGCGCTGACCCCGCTGCCGTCTCTCCTCCCGGGTGGCGGCGCGGGTGGTGGGGCCTCGCCAGCGGTGTGAGAGGTGGCACTGACCCCGCTGCCGTCTCTCCCTCCCGGGTGGCGGCGCGGGTGGTGGGGCCTTGCCAGCGGTGTGAGGAGGTGGCACTGACCCCGCTGCCGTCTCTCCCTCCCGGGTGGCGGCGCGGGTGGTGGGGCCTCGCCAGCGGTGTGAGGAGGTGGCACTGACCCCGCTGCCGTCTCTCCCTCCCGGGTGGCGGCGCGGGTGGTGGGGCCTTGCCAGCGGTGTGAGGAGGTGGCGCTGACCCCGCTGCCGTCTCTCCCTCCCGGGTGGCGGCGCGGGTGGTGGGGCCTTGCCAGCGGTGTGAGGAGGTGGCACTGACCCCGCCGCCGTCTCTCCCTCGGCCTGTCCAGGCTCAGAGGCGATGCGGCTGGACGAGGTGACGATGCTGCTGGCGATGGGCGTGTTCGTGCTGCACGCGCCGCCGTCAGTGGTACGCATCCCGGCGCTGCAGTACCCGTGCGTCAACGAGTACACCACCTGCCTGCAGGCCGACAGCATACAGGTACGGCCGCGGGCGCCGGACGCGCCTGGTGCTGGCCACGGCTGGTCGGGGGAACGCCCCGGCAGCTGGCCGATGTAAAGCATTGCGGAGAGATTGACTTTGGAAAGGGACTGGAAGTTTCAGTTTGAGTTCGAGGCGGTCCTCGGGCTGGCCTCTGCCTGAACCGTCCAATGCTGTTTAAAAGGAAACCGCTGTGATGTGATTACCCGTTTTAATCTGCCACTTTGAAGTATCCAAGGTCGGTAGTTGTCATTTGCGGTTGGCATGCCTGTCGGGCATATTGAGATGAAATGTAACCACTCTGCTCTGCACTTGTCCATCCGGCGTCACTGAAGTGCAGTTGTCGGTGTTGGAAGATCCGATGACGGCTGGGCCTGTAGGTCTGACGGTGCGTGCGCGTGCGACTTGACCTGCCCTTTTTGTCCTGCTGTGTGATGCCTATTTCAACGAGCGCGCTTTTCCGCTCACAACCCAGCTGTGGGTCCATCAGCAGCACATGTCCTCACGCCGTGCACGTGGTGCATGATGGACGATGGCCGGTATCCGTCCTTTGCCGCGGTCCTACCGCGCAACTGTGCCCAGCCCCGCCACGGAGCGGTGTGGGCCGTGTCGGCGCCCGTCTCAGCGGCGCCCTCCGCCGCTCCAGGTGCGGTTCCACTGCGTGCGCACGGTGCGCTCCATCTTCGCGCACGCCGACCGGGCCGTCTCGACGCCCTACATCCAGGCGCTGGCACCGCGGCTGCTGCAGCAGCTGCACGTGTCGGCCGGCGCCGCGCCGCCCTCGGAGCTGGAGCTACAGCTGCAGCTGGAGCAGCTCGGCTGTCTGGAGACGCTCGTCACCGTCTGCGACCCGGCGAACCGTGAGTGGACGGCCGCGCCCGCCGCGCCCGGCCGCGGCGGTGTGCGCTCCATGCTGCTGCTGCGGCGGCGGCGGCGGCGGCGGCGGCGGCGGCGGCGGCGGCGGCGTCGCGTGATGTTTCCGGTCGGAGAGAACTGTTTGTGCTCGTGCGTGAAGCGGGTAGAATGGCTGTGTTCTGGTCAGTTTCCGTTATTGCGTAGCGAGTCTTGTGCTTCCGGGAAGCCTCTGTCGACTGTGTCTAATGTATGCTCTGTCCTGCCGACGCTGCGCAGGACCCGAAATTGAGGGTGAGTGGAAAGGTGGTCCGGGTCACATGTGCGAAGCTGGCTGCGACGTTCGGGTTCTATAGAGTGGCTAGCCGACCTCTGTAATACTGTGTCGCAATGACAGTAGCCCGTTGGAAGAGAGCAGACGTACGCTATCTTGTTTGAACCGTCTATGATATAGTTTATCGCATCTTTTTCACAGGCGTCTTGTTTTTTTTTTCGAATGCTGTGCCTGGCTGGAAGACAGACGTGTAATCAAGCGCCTGGTAGACCTGTCGCGGAGCCGCCTTCAGGCCGATGACGCTTTTCTTTTGTCTGCGGTCTACAGGAGTGCAGGTGCTGGGCCTGTACGTGCCCGTGCTGATCCGCTTCTTGCTGGACTCTGAATCACTGCCGGCGGCCCCGTCGCTGTCCCAGACCCGGCACGAGCACTGCCTGAACAAGCTCAACACCATCGGGCCGCAGTACCCGCAGGTGGGCTTGCTGCTCTCCTGTAGATGGCGCTAGCGTCGCCGCGAGTGGACATAGGTGGCGATGGAGGCGCCTGTGGGACGCCATGTTTCCCCGCCTCTCAGCGCTGCGCCCGTGCGACAGAATCACGGCCGAAGTTGGCCGATCGGCAGAGGCCTTGCGCCACTCCTTCCGCCGCTCGTGCTGGCGTCGGCGTCGCCCCATCGGGGTCCGACGTCGTATCGTGCCGAGGAAAACCGGCGTCGGACGACCGCGTGCCGCACGCCTCTCTCGGCCGGTGGTCACGGCCCGACCAGAGCCGGCCCAGGCCGCCGTGTGACTTTCACGGCCTCTTCGTGAGCGGTGACGGGACCGGGGCCGACAGGGGGGCCGTCGTGGCTGCGGTATTGGGGTCGGTGTACGTCGCGTGCGTCCCCAGTCGATTCTGACCGGGCGCCGTCGCTGTCGGCAGGAGTTCAAGACGCTGCTGTCGGGCTCGGCGCCACTGCGCCAGCGGCTGGAGCAGGCGGTGGCGGCCAGCCAGCGTCTCAAAGCATCGCAGGCGCGGCAGGCGCAGGCCAAGCCGGCCGCGCCGCAGGCTCCCGCCGCCACCATCAAGCTCAGCATGGACTTCAGCAACTTCACCTGAGGCCGGCGCCTGCTGGGAGTGACGTGTTCGGGCGACCGGGCCGGGGTATCGGTCCTCGGCGGACGGAGCTGTGCTGTGTGGGAATCGCGAGCCGCGGTGGCTGCTCCGACGCAGGGCCATAGCAGCGCTGTTCCCCGCGGGCTGAACCTGTGCCAGACGGCTGCCGCCCATCCCCGCTGCTAAGCTGTGTGACGTTGTCCGTGAGGGAACCTCCACGTCTCCCTCGTCGTGTTGTTACGTATTAGCCGTCGAGCCGCGGCCGCCGGCGCTCCTCGGGGAGCTGCGGCCTGATCTGTGGAGCGTCCTCCCGTCGGCAGAGACCGCCGCCGGCTGAACCGTGCCAAAGGCCGGGCACTGGCCGCCCCGCCCGCTGCGCCGGTCGGCTGTCTCTCCCTCCTGCCCCCCCCCCCCCCCCCTCCCTCTGACTGTGGGTCCACTGTGACATTCTGCTGGGCGCGGTGCTGCTCTCTCATTCCGGGCTGAAGTGTAGCTGCCGGCGGCGGCGGGAGTAGACTGTGCCGAGCTGGGGCGGAGCTGGCGGCCGCCGGGACGGACTCGCGCTGGCGGGGACGCGCGCAGGGTTGTGATACGGCCGAACCAAAGATGGCCGACGGCGGGCGCGGCGCCCGGTCCGGTCCGGTGCGCTTGGTGTTGATCTGTGCTGTTTAGAATGATGTCGGAGCTTCTAGACAATCTGGGGAATGCGGTGTGTCGACTGTGCGTATGGTGATACGATCAAGAACGTAATTATTGTGCGGCTCGGTGAGATGAGATTAGAGGAACAAGGTGTCAGCTGATAATAATGGCAAATAAATTTGTTTCGGATACGATCTTAGTCTTTCCTCCCGAGCCTTCGACGGCAGTTAACAGCCGCTTGTCCGCGAATGAGACCGGCTCCGTGCGGATCTCCAGCTCCCCGGCGCTCTGTCGTGTCGTGACTCCATCCAGCTTCCGTCAGCCGGCGGCGGCCCTCCGCTCGCTCTCTCCTGCACGCTGTCCGGGCCGGCCCTGTTCTCTCACCTTGCCGGCGGCGGTGACCTCTGACCCGCGCCGCCGCCGGCGTCGGCTGCAGACGGTTGCCGGCCGACACGCGCGCTGCAGTCGCCGCCGCCGGCGCCCCTGGCGGCTGGACGTGCAGCCTCGTCGCGCGGAAACGGCGCGGTTCCGATCAGGACACGCGGCGGGACACGATCGCGACGAACGTGGCGCGGCGTGACGAGCTGTGGGGCTGAAAAACTGGACGGCGAGGCTGGCACGGACGGCGGCAGCGCTGACGTGGTGGTGAAGCTTGCCTGCCGCTGCGCAGATGCCTGCTGCTCGCTGTGCGGCTTGCAGAAGGAGAGAGAGAGAGAGAGAGAGAGGGTGAGAGGGGGGAGGGGAGAGATAGAGGGGGATAGAGAGGGAGAGAGGGTTGGGGGGGGGGGCGAGTGCAGGCCGTTGAGGTTTTTTAGCTAGTTCAGGAATGAGGATCCCGGGACCGTGTCATCGGGTTTTGTATCTGCGGAGATCACCGGAGGCCAGTGATGCCTGCCTGCAAACGGCGTAAAAGTTCCAGCACAATGGACGGAGATATGTTCCGTGCCGCGGCTGTGGGAAGGCCCCTCGCGTTATGACCGTTGGGACGTACAGTCGTGCGCCGGCTTTATCATCGGCGCTGCACCGACTTCTTTGGATTGACAATTACGTACCTATCAATGATCGTTCGGTATCCTGGTTTTACCAGTGCCTCGCGGTGAGACAGGCACTTTTCAGGACAGAACTAATAAAATCAGAAACAAGCGTAAATCCCTTCCTGCTTATATCGAAACGGCACAGATTCCTCGCGTCTGTCCATCAACATATATATATATATATATATATATATATATATATATATATATATATATATATATATATATATATAACTCTAGGGCCTTGATATATAATCTGCGGCAGCGTTTCTTATGTAACGTGCCCAGGCATCGTCACTTCGGAGAGTGACAGTACAATCATAATTAATCATACATTAAATAAAGAGAAGTTATCACTTACCCTCATGCGCTGACACCATGTTGTGCACAGGGCATTGTCGCCCTTCTCAAACAAGTTTTTTCTTCAGTTCCGTGCCGCAGTTGTCAGCACCGCTCAGACACGCCCGCCGGATTCTGCGCATCCGGCGGAGAATCTGCCTGACGTCACGTAAAGTCTCAGCTCCCGATCCTCCGGCCCTTCGGCCCAACGGCCGAAGCGAGGCGGGCAGCGGCACGGAGGCTTCGTTACATCGAGCAGGATCTGGGCCACCCGGTCTGATTCGACAAACCTTGTGTCTCGGCCCTACGAGGACCGCAGCTGTGGAGTCATCGAGCGCGACCGGAAAACAGCGAGTTCGAATTCTGCTGCTGGGAATATTAGTTTCTTTTGCACTTGGTACATGGCGTGAAACGGTACAATTTGATGTAAAAAGCCTGGGGTAGATGTGAATGCGCCCCATGCAGATTTCTGTTATAACGTTTGGTTTTACCAATATGATATGAGGGGCAGTGGTTATAAAGTGATCCCCTACTAATCATGCCGATATCTGCCAGCCTTCAATCGCGGAACTGAGGTGATCACTACGCGCCACACGTATTGCAGTGAGACATTTTCTACATTGCTTCACGCATCAAATCACCAACAGAGCTGTCACTGCCCATCGGTTTCCATTATAGTTCGTGATGTTACATTGATGCTACGTGATGTTTCATTGGTCGGGCGGGAGGTCGTGAACCTGTCCGCTGTCGTCACACATTAGGCGTGGATAGCTAGCTACCTCTGCGTGTACCTATGAACGGTCGGCAAAGCTACGCGTTACGCATATCCTCGGTCATGCATCGGCCTCTCTTCGCGCAAACCGCAACCTAGCCCATCAGCACACTCACACAAAGAACAACATGAAGCATTGCGCTCTCTGTGGCATGAGATGCACAAAACGCCGCTCCGAACTGTTTTCCCACGTCCTTCACCAGCTGTAAGCCGGTCCGCTAGCTGTCCGGTCCACTAATCTGGACGCTGCTGGCAGATTGTGGTGTTTCCTCGTATCTCACGTGACAAGCATTGTGCAAACGCCTGAAGTTGACACAGATTGGATGTGTAAGCAGCGTCTAGCTCGCCTGGGCAAGTCGTGACAAGCTGTTGCGGCTTTGTAGGTGAACAGCTGTACTGCATTAACCGGCAGAGCAGCGTGATGTCATTGAGGGGCTTCACTTGTTCCTCTGAAATACGTCCTGATCCCAAACTACGCCGGAACAACTTGAGCACATTGTCGTGCCCTTGTGCACTTCGACGTTTGGCTGAAATAGAGGGTAAATTCATGCATTAGAACGAAGTCGCAGACTCACAATTTTACTTGAACTGAGTACATTTGCGACTGGAATGGTCCGATCCGACCGTCTGGCGGCCCGGCTCGGCCCGTGACTCGGCCCGTGACTCGGCCCGGCTCAGTTTGTGAACCGGCCCGGCTCAGTTTGTAACTCGGCGCGGCTCAGTTTGTGACGCGGTCCGGCTCAGTTTGTGACCCGCTCCGGCTCAGTTTGTGACTCGGCCCGGCTCAGTTTGTAACTCGGCACGGCTCAGTTTGTGACCCGGCACGGCTCAGTTTGTGACTCGGCCCGGCTCGATCTGAGACCCGGTCCGGCTCAGTGTATAACTCGGCCCGGCTCGGTCTGTGACCCGGCCCGGCTCAGTTTGTGACCCGGCGCGGCTCAGTTTGTGACCCGGCGCGGCTCAGTTTGTAACTCGGCCCGGCTCAGTCTGTGACCCGGCCCGGCTCAGTTTGTAACTCGGCCCGGCTCAGTTTGTGACTCGGCCCGGCTCAGTTTGTGACTCGGCCCGGCTCAGTCTGTGACCCAGCACGGCTCAGTTTGTGACCCGGCCCGGCTCGGTCTGTGACCCGGCCCGGCTCAGTTTGTAACTCGGCACGGCTCAGTTTGTGACTCGGCGCGGCTCATTCTGTGACCCGGCCCGGCTCAGTTTGTGACTCGGCTCAGCTCAGTTTGTGACTCGGCCCGGCTCAGTCTGTGACCCGTCGTGGCTCAGTTTGTGACTCGGCGCGGCTCAGTTTGTGACTCGGCGCGGCTCAGTCTGTGACCCGGCCCGGCTCAGTTTGTGACTCGGCGCGGCTCAGTTTGTGATTCGGCCCGGCTCAGTCTGTGACCCGGCCCGGCTCAGTTTGTGACCCGGCCCGGCTCAGTCTGTGGCCCGGCACAAGTGTTTGGCTGGTCTGGGACGGCCCGGCTGTCACGCCCTCTAGAAGCTAATATCTTTGTAACCGGTGGTCGCCGGCTGTTGCAGGTCTCAGCAGCAAGAAGCCTAACGCTCCGAACATTTTTCCGCATGAATTGGCTGCATTTGCGCGTAAGCTGTTAGATGGAGCGGGCTTTTCCTGCAGTAATGCAGCGTCACCATGATATCACCTCCCCTCCCTTTCAAGCGTCTGTCTGTCCGTGTCCTTACAACGCACCGTACGCTTCCCCGCTGAGACGAATTCTGACAGCCGGAGAGCCCAGAGCCATAGCCAGAACTCCAGAGCCACAGCCGAACAGCTGACAACACAGAGCCAGGAGAGAGCACGCGACACGCAACAGGATGTGAATCTTAGCCTACCTTGAATCTAGACAGCCGGGCAGGTGGCAACTCAGGCATCGAACTACAGCCTGTCCAGGTGTGATTCTTACGTGTCAATGTCAGATGGATCTACTTATTCCGCCGTGCTGGGCGCACCTGTGTTTGCGTGAGTGTTTGAATGCTGATTTGTTTTCTCTGGACCTCTTTATGATATCAAAGCTAAAAAAGCCAAAAATTCGGATAAGCGTTATCTCTATAATACAATGCAATGTCATACAACAGCTAGTCTGCTGCGGTGAGCTTGCCGCTTCTTTACCTCAACCAACATTATGACAAATATGTAATTTGTTCATAGACATATAAACAAGACATGGCAAAGTTTTCTAACTAGTGCACTGGTGTGAGGATCTGCCAGTTCGACCCGAGAAAATCAATAAGAAAATGAAGATACCTGCTTGGGGTGAACGGAGCATTTAGCGAAAGGGGGCACAACTCTGAATAACACTGTGTGGCGCGGCGTGGGCGTAGCACGTAGTCGAGCAAAATTTATTGCGCGGCGCAAGACTGCATCGTCTGTTCTCCATCTGCTTACTCTACGTGTTTACCGCGAGCTTTTTAGTGTCGAAATGCATTCGCGCATACGATTTTGATTGGGGGGGGGGGGGGGCTGAGCACGTTCCCCCGAGAACAACTACTTGCATGCGTCCTTAAGGTTTGTTTCACAGTAGCCGTGGAGGACGCTCCAGCCTCTCCCCAACTCCCCAACCCCCTCCCTTCTAGTCAGCGCACACCGCCTGGGGCCGTTTGCGCCAG